ATTACCTGTAATTCTTTTTGCCCAATCTAAGGCAGTTCTAAGACAGCATTAGCCAATAGTAGTTTCCACAAATTAGACTGGCTAATCAATAATTTAGATTCATTAGTGGGAAGGAACAAAGGCCTCTCTTTATTCCCATGGGAGTTTTACAGAAAACAGGCAGGAAATGCTTAGCATCAAGTGGAAAAGGTACTGAAGAACTGAACTTCAAAATACATTGGGCTTTAAATATAAATCTCATTTGTCAGTCAGGAAATAACCTCTGTTTTTAAACTTTAATGGGGAAATTAAGTTGTTCCTGCTCAGATTTCTGGGAGAGCATTTCCTGGTTCAGTACTTTATGTAGCCAAGTACTACAGAAGTTCTGGGTGGTTTAGATGTCTGTTTAGGTTCTGTCTCTCCCTCTTCTAATTTAGAACTCAGAGTTGAACTATCTTTCCACCATCAAGGTCTGTCTTTCACCTCTTTGTCTCCTAAAGTTGAGGGTTTTTGTATCCTTGTTTTCTTCATATCAGTTCCACAACTTCTCTCTTCTGCCCATAAAAATAAAAATACTATCAAGATGAACTTAAAAATAAAACACATTCACCTTGCATGCAGGATACTCCCATGACAGATGTTTTGCCTTCCCTGCAACTGTATATAGGCATGTTCTTTCCACTAACTAGTCTGTGATTACAAACTGGAAGGTGATCGTGTGCACTTAAGGCATGATGGAAATTGGAGAGCTGTGTCAAATTAAGGGGCAGGCAGGGTTGAAATATTGATGACCTTTCAACATCAGTGAGCAAGCTGGAAAGCAGCAGGTGAATCATGTCTCCTCGGAATTTCTCGCTGAAATCGAGAAATTAGAAATTCCTGCAGCCTTGGGATAAGTCCATCTGCTGAAATGTCCTGTTGAACTAGACTGGATTACACCATGAGCTGGGACAATCCTGCACTCACAAATCCCCCACTGAAATAAAGGCAGATCTGTTTTCACTGAGCATGGTGCCTGAAGGAATTCATAGATCTTAAGGCAATAAAACAATTGTCATTTTAGGCAGGCCCCCAGAAGATCCAGCTCAGCCAGGAGAGCACAGTATTTAGTTAAAAACTGCAGGCACAATTTCAGTAACAGAAGTTGTTCACTCTTCTGAACAACTCCCTAAACAGCTAAAACTCATTAATAGAATTTTATTTTTTTAATCTGATCAATGGATATGCTTTTTCTGTTTGTTTTATGAGAAGAATGAGAAGAGAAGAAGATGAAGAAAGCCTAAGGAGAGCATTTCCATGAGAGAGATGTTAATTGTTTAGTTAACTTGAAAAATTGAAGACAGGTAGGTGTACAGGACAATTAGTGTACATGGGAGTCCAGCCAGGAAATCTCAGTCCTTCCCACTGAAAAACTTCAAGTGGATACAACAAAACTCCAAGGTAATAGATTTCATTCAGACAAAAGGAATCATATTTTTAATAACACTGCTTTTAGGATGTCACTGATTCGATTAATTTCAATTCAAATTTCCCACTAAATTTAGAAAAATTAATGACTGGAAGAAGCTCATCTAAATTATCATTTACAAGAGAACCTTCATTTGTAGCAATTACCCAGCACAGAACATTAAACTGAGAGGAAAGATACTTCAGGCTTTTCAACCTCCTTTGACGTTGATCTGTTAACTTTGGAAGGACATTTTACACCTTTATAGCCCTCTGCTTAAAAACCTGTCTGGTTTGTTCAGATTAATTGGAAAATTCCAGTTTGCTTTGCATTAAGGAGAATATGTGTCTTGCTATTAATGCCTGATACTCTATCCAGCTTCCATCTATCTCACTAAGAAACTGTAAAAGCTGTAGACAGGTCAAACTATTTAGAGAGGAATCTAAAGAAGAATTGCTTTTCCTGGCTCTGTTTTTTGGTCTTTTTGATACGTCCTGCTTCTGCTGGCTCTTGTTTTTGTGTCTCTCACGTTCAATCATTTTTGTCTGACCATTTTCTTGCATTAAATTGTCCAGATTTAAGTAACTGTCAACAGGCAGCATGATTTATATAAACATTACTCTGACTTTCTCTTGTGCTGATCTCTTATCAAAATGCATCTATTCGTTAATAAAAAGCTGCTGATTAAATAAGGCCAGGCCCAGATGCAGTAATTTATGCTCAGCTGACTGAACCTTGAGCAGAGTGTATCAGTGAACATTCTGGCCTTGTTCTTTCTTAATATTTTCAGAAAACCCTTCATATACAAATATTGCAGCAGCAGTTTACCACCGAGCCGATATACCTAATCCCAGGATTAATTTTATATGCCCATCAGTAGTGAAGCAAGAAGGATTTAATAGCCCATTAGCCTTTCAGCATGATAATTTTCACGTCACTTATCCTGCTGGGTTAATTGCTTCAAAATGGATATTTATTGACCTCAATCCTAGAGGCAAACAGAGAATGTCTTATTCATCTCCCCAATGTACATTCTTAGACTTTTGTTTCTTTTGGTCCTGACGAAAAGTCCCCTAGATTATGTGTTTGTATATTATAATTTATACCCTATTGGCCCATATTTAAGAGCTTAACGAAGCAGCATCTTTCTGATATTAATATGCACAACTGCAATTTTAAGTTCTATTTTTTTATGTAAAGAGAAACATTGGAAGCATAAAAAAAAAAAATCAACGTTTTACCTCTTGTTAGGAGAACAATTTTAATGCTAAAAGCTGTAGCAGGTGCAGCAGGGATTAAGCACTTTTGGAATAAACAGCTGGCCGGTATATTTCCAACTGCAAAATTCTGGTCACTGGGAGGAGAGAATGAAGAATTAATTTTGACAGAGAAGCTGTAGGAAAGGAAATTCGGGTTCTACAGCAGAGAAACAGAAAAATGTATTATGAAAAAGAAAAAAAGCTGAAGAGTAGAGTTTTTGTTTGTGTGTATTATTTGTGGATTGTTTCTGTTAGTGATTTAGAGAATACATAGGCTAGCTGTTTTGAGGGAATTAATCCCACAGATTTCAGGGGTATCTGTAAAAGGGTATATCCTCACACATGCCTGAAGTCTCATTCTATAGTTTCCTGGGGTAAATTTGCTTTATAAGATACAGAATGGAGAGGCTTGGTATTTACAAAGAGTGATTCTAAACCAAATTAACATTAACAAAGGTAATTTATCTGCTAGCAAAAGCCTGACTTGGTTTGATAGGCTTATCAAGTGCCTGAATAAGGGCAGAACTTCACGAAACAAATTAGAGCTAAAGGACTCCTATTGAGCTTCACCATTGAACAGTACTGGGATTTTCCCTGGGAGCTCAGCTCTGCATTTTACTGGCAATGACAATGTCAATGCCAGTGGTGTTGTTTTTATCAATGACTGTTCCTGTGTGGCACGTTCATGACAGGAGCAGTTGAAGCTGGATGTTCTCGCTGCGGTTCCAAACCACCTTTGACTCCAGCTGAAACAAAACCTGGCTGCCTGTAGCAACTCTGCTGCAGCAGGTGTGTGGCCAATCATTGCTCTCCAAAGTGTTTTTCCAGGAAAAAAACAAAACAAAACTTGTTTTTCAACCTTGAAACTTTTTTTTTTCCCCCTTAAATTTAGGTCGTCTACTTCAGGGCGTTTAGGTTATTGCTAAAGCTACAGTGTTATAGCGTGTTTTGTAAAAGGCAAAAAAAAAAAGAAGAAAATCTTCTGAATAGCAAGAAGAGCAGCATTTCAGAGAGAAGTGAAAAATTAGAGGATGCGGTGAGAATTTGGTCCTTAAAAGATTGGAAATATTTCCTGTTTGCTTTTAAGAATGTTATTTAAGAACTGGTGATTATTTAATGATTTAGTGATGTCTATTTTTCACTATGAATATCTTCTGCCATCCATACTAGAAAAAAAAAAAAAAAGGCATTGCATTCACTGAGTTTAAAACTTAAAACTGGTTGATCAGCTCACGTAAATCAGCATATCCAGAGGAATCAGAAGAGAAATGCCAAATTACTGATGCTGAACACCCAGTCCTAGATTTTTTAACTTAAACTATGAGGAAAATAGAGTGGATCAGATCCTGCTCCTTTGTGTACCGACGTCAGAGACACAAAACCTGACCCTAAATACATTGCACGGGGAATCATTAAACCTTAAAAGATTTTAAACACGCAGAGTGTTGCCAGGCAGTTTTGCAAATCGAATCACCGAATTATAAAGTGTGTTAACTTTTTTTTTTTTTAAACATTAATTTTGCGCACTGTTGAAAAATATTCCTTTGGGCATCTCTGTAAGGAACATCCAGGTTTGAATTCCAGCCAGAGCCAAGGGTTCCTCTGGGGTACAGATGGCCCTGCTCTCCCTGAGGGGGGAGCGGCCAGCCGGGCACCCACGGCCCAGTTCCCAGGAGGACACGGAGCACTTCTCATCTCCGTCACAAAAAAAAAAAGCAGGGACAGTGAGAGTGGCGTTCTCACAAACCCTGCTGGTGCGAACCGCCCTGGAGACCCTCACGGAACCCGGGTCACCCCCGGAAGGGGGCTCCGTGACTGAATTTCCAGACTTTTGGGAGACGGAGGGACACCCGGAGCGCTGGCCGTTCCCTCACGGAGCAGCCCTCGGTTGAGGGGCGGCGGGGCCCGCCTGGCGCTCACCCCGCAGTGTGAGGGGGGCGCGCCTGGAGCACCCTTGCTGGGCAGCGGGGAGATCCCTTCCTCCCCGAGAAAAGGCGAACACCGCTGTTTATCGATATTTTATTGATATTTTATTGATATTCTTCCACACCCCTCTCTCCCCCCGCCCCGCCGGGTCACGCCGGGTGACTCTGCCCCGCCGGAGGCGCCGCCCCGGGCGGGGGTCGCGGCGTGAGGGGCGGGCTGGCGGGCGTGAGGGAGGGGCTGCAGCGCGTCCTCCGGCGCGGGCGGGGGCGCTGCGGGCGCTGCGGGCTCCTCCGCCGCCGCCATCTCCGCCGCTGAGCTCATAAAGGTGTCGCGCAGGTTCCGCCCGGGCTCGTCATTCCGCCGCCCCGGGCCTGCTGCCGCCGCCGCCGCCGCTGCCGCTTTCCCCGCGCCGCGGTCCCTGCCCGCTCCCTCCTCCCTCCCTTCTTTCCTCCCTCGCGGGGCCGCCGCTCCGCGTCAGCGCCCACCGCGCTCCCGCCCCGGCCCCGTCGGCGGGCGCCGGTTGTGCCCTCCCCGCCCCTTCCTCCCCTGTCCGCCCGTCCCCCCCCTCCCGCCGGCCGGGCCCCGGAGCGCCGCCGCCGCCGCGGGGCTGTGAGCGGGGCCCGGCGCCGTGCCGGGCCGTCCCCTCGCCGGCGGGGCCATGGCCGCGAGCGCCAAGCGGAAGCAGGAGGAGAAGCACCTGAAGCTGCTGCGGGAGATGAGCAGCCTCCCGCCCAACCGCAAGTGCTTCGACTGCGACCAGCGCGGCCCCACCTACACCGACATGACCGTGGGCAGCTTCGTGTGCACCTCCTGCTCCGGCATCCTGTGAGTGAGTGAGTGAGTGAGGGCGTGAGTGAGGGCGGGCCCCGTCCCCCGGCGGCTCGGCCGCGGTGCCCTCCCTGCCGCCGGCCCGGCCACGTCTCCCGGGGAAGGGGAGGGGAGGGGAGGGGAGGAGGCCGCCGGGAGGCTTTCCCGGGCGCTGTCGCTGGAAATGCCCGTCGGAGCCCCCCGTTGCGGGGGCGGCTGGCGGGGTGTGCGGGGCTGGGGCACGGCCCCGAGCTCATCGCGGGGAGGTTTCTCCGGCACGCAGCAACCACCCCCACCTCCCGAACGGGTCGGAGGGGTGGTTAATTAAACAAGTGTGCCGAGAATACTCGTGGGAAGGGAAGAGGCACGTGGCTGAGCAGTTCACTGTCATGACAGTCTTGAAGACACCGACCCTCTCTGAATACGGAGTTTAGCTTTTACAGGTTTTAATTTAAGTTAAACCACCACCCTACCTTTCTTTGCAGCAAGTTATGCTTGGTAGTAGTTTGTAAGGCAACTTTCTGAGCTCCTGCTTAGTGGATAAACACTAATGGTTTAAGAGACTTGATTAGAAAAGTAGTAGAAGGTTGGGTTTTTTTTCCCCCTTATATCGATAACTTCCTACAAACTATATATATATCTAAACCTTGGAAAGGGATTGGCTCTGATAAAGTAATTGCATTTTTCCTGTTCCTCATTCCTGCGTGGGCCTCCGCACTGCTCCTCCCTTTTCCACCCATCCTCCTCTGAGATAACGTATATGAAACTAAGGGTTGAAGTCAGTCAGTTCTGAATTTCAGTCACACAGACATAACTTAAGGGAAAAACCCTACTGTCTTCAGTGCTATTACTATTAGCTAGATATATTTACCATTTTTTTTATGATTCTGTAGCATTGTGCTTGTGGGATGGAGCAGAATCAAAGAGTAGCCAAAGAAGTAATAAATAGTATGTCAAAGGATAGATTGGTGTTTGTAAGGGTTTTTGAGTTCATAAAAGGCGTTCAGGAGTCTGAACTAATTCCTGCCCCCTTAATACCCCAAACAGGCTTTCCAAGTAAGGTCAGGTGTTTTAGAAGTCAGTTGGTAGTTTTGAGCTTCAAAACAGAGCAAACATGTTAGTTCTGTGCTGAATTTACATGGAAAGAACTGCCTTTTATATTACTAGACAGCTAATTGGACTCGAGGTGTTTTAACTTCTGCTTGGTGTAGACTTTTGAACAGTCTTGATGCAAATACAGAAAATACATTTAGCTTGTGAAACTGAAAAGAGACTTTAGTTTTTCACACATACATGCTACTCAGCCAGCCAGCTCGGGCTATTGTTTGCTCTCTTAGCAAACTGTTATTTGTGCTGGCATGTGAAACTATTTTAAGCTACTGCACTGAGCTTATTTAATGGTTGCACATGTTCTTACTGGTTAGAATGACAGCGTGATAAAACCGCACCATGAGAGTATTTGTCTTCATTTTTCAGGCTTCTCGACCTTAATAGGCAGATATATTGTGAATGCTGCTGAGATGCTCGGTGTAGGTTCAGAAGGATCTGTTCCCTTTAGTTGCTGACTGGGAGGTGTGGACTACTAAAGTGTTTAGTCCAATTTACAGTAACCAAAAGGATGCAGTGGAACAGCTCTCAAACAGGGGACAGCTGCCACTTGATGTTGAGCTGACCATCGTTTGGGTGTCATGTGTAACGTGGATGTTGTGGCCACGCTTGAAGGAGGAAGACTTTCTGCAAAGAAGTGTTTAATGTATTGGCATTCAAATAAAATGCAGGTAGTTCTTTCGTTTTAAGGATGCAGTGTTTTGGTGTTGCTATAAAAAAGCTGTTTGGTTCTTACAGCTAGTAACACCTACACTGAAAGCTGGAGTAAAGGGTTGTTAGGAGGAGTTAGAGCTTTCTTCTGAAATAAATTTGGGCTCGCTCCTTCGTGATGACTTGGAAAAGCTTTCATAAATTGTGTGTTCAGGATCATGTACATTGGTTAACACCTCAGAACCGAGGCAGGGGGGTATTTTTGTTAGTGATGAGACTCAGTATAGGTCATGTCTGTTATGTAACTAGAAACTGTTATTTTCAACACTTCTGTCAGAACAGTCCTTCATACAACTTACTTAAAATGCTTTTCACTGTAGAATTCCACAGTGGAGGGAAATTACTTGGGAACAAACCACATAATGGCAAATAAGTGTAAAAGTACTGTTGCTTCTGCAGTTCTTAATGACTGCTTGCATTCTGCCTCATAATACTTGTTTTACTGTAAGGCTTTAATAATCTTAGTACTTTATCTGTTTGTATGCTATGTGAATGACTTGCATTGCTTCTTGTTTTAATTATTTTTTTTTCTGATCTGGTACAGGAAGTGTTCCTGGAGTCAAGTAGACTAGTTTTTTCAAGTATGAAGTGCCCAATGCAAGATTAAAGTACTAGTGTATTACCAAGCCTCCTTCAGAAAGGTTTCTTGATTAACTCAAAGTGGTTGCTAACATCAATATCCTCTTGAACAGGCATGTTGTTCTAGATGCAGTTAACTCTAAACTTTTCAAAACTGTAGTATAACTTTTTTACGTGTTTTCTGAAGCGTTCATTCGCTGTCCTGGTGAGGACTGTATTCAAATCCAAAACCTTAACTCTGGGTCCATCCTAAAAATTTCCATTAAGTATTTTAGGTGTATAAAGAGAGCAATGGTATTTATTACTAGATTTAGTTTAAAAAACCTACTATTTCCTTAACCATTTCCAAAAATAGTATGTCTAGCTTGTTCAAGTATAACAATGATTATAAAAACGGTGAGAGGACTAGTGTCTTTGCTAACAAGATGTGTTTCTGACTTCAGTGTTGTAGGCGAGTCACATCAAGTTAAAAGTATGAATGACACAGAGGAGGTTCTTTTTTGGAGTAGTTGGGTTTAAGTTGCCTTATCAGATCCGGTTTAGCAGAGCAGAAGTTTTGCTGTGCAAAATGGTGCATGCAGGAGAAAGTTCATGACCAGTGGTGTGAGTGTGCTTCCTCTTGAAATACTTCCTCTTGTCCCCCGTGTTTAAATATTTCATGTTGGGGGAAAAAGCGTGATAACATCGCACCAGGTAATTCAGCTTTTCGGTGTTGGACAAGAATGTAGGATATGTAGAAATACACACACCATCAATTTTTCCCTGAGATCAGGAGGAGATGCTCCAGAGGAGCAGCCTGCTCAGGTCAAGGATTACAGTCCTACAACACAGGAAGGTTTCTCTTTATTATGGCAAAACAGCATCTCGGGAAATGTTGGCAGAGAGATCCCTTTGGTTTGACAGAAGTCCTTTGATTCAAAGGATTATGTTGGTAGCTGTGACTGTTGTTTCTTGGGATGCTCCCATGTGTCCAACAGTGACATCCTTCCCTTTGTCTTATCAGATGCCTCTTTGCCTTGGATCTCAGCTGTCTGTGTGCAGCTGTGCTTTCAAGCCCTTCTGGGCCACTCCTGGTCAGCCTGCTCTGAACTTTCATGAAAAGAATATGCTTTTAAATTCACCAGTGGAAAATATTCCTGTTTGATTAAGAGTCCACTTGCACAAGTTCTGTATTATGTTTTTTATTTAGTCTTGACTCTTTTTTATGCCTGCTGATGTGATAGTTAAGGCACTCCTATCCTTTCTCTCACTGCTGCCCTCTGAAATCCGTCCCTCCCAACTTACTGAGGAAGTCTCTTGTTCAGATGTTTTCACTTCTGTCTTGTGTCAGGAAGGAGCAACAATGAATGTTTAGAACACAGAGGTACCGTGAGGAATCCTGAAGGCCTTTTAGGCGTATTTCTTACAGTTATTGGATCATGTGGCCTTCTGGCTGCTTCTGATACTCCTAGGTGAAATTTTAAATTTAAAATTTTATGGATAAGGGACTTCTGTATCAGCCAGGTGGAGTATTTTATGGCAGATACACTAGTAAAAACCATAAATTTTTGTGCAATAGTGTTGAATTATTATGCCTTTCCCTAGAAGAAATTTTGCAGAAATTAAAATGGTTTAAATAAACAGTGTTAGAATGAAGGTGATTCACATTGTGTGAGCATGACTCTTCAGTCTCTTTTTTTTCCTTGGGAGCATGTTTGGAAAAAATGTGTGTATATTTAAGGATATTTCCTATATTACTATATTTCTCATTTTCAGTTTCAGGGCTGGAGAGCAAAGGAAATGTCTGTATACCACAGTGAACACTGTCCAGTTCACAAAGAATGTTTGTTTGGTTTTTTTTAAGAAAAAAAAAATTAACCTTGACTGTGCTTCAAAATGTGTGTGTGAGCCTTCTGCTGTTAAAAATAAATGAGCTTGTGAGATGGTGGAGGGTCTCCAGGGAGGTCTACAAGTATCAGGAATGGCCACTGCTGCTTATATTCTCTTTTGCTAATTACAACAGCATAGAAATGATAACAAACGCTGTGACATTGGGTTTTCTAAAGCTTGTTTTTTGGACGCGTGGGAATGTAGGGTACTCCACGATGGCTTGGCATTGGACTTGCCTCATTAACTTCCTGCTTTTTAGGGGATCAGATTTTGCTGGCTTGGACTAGAGATCTTACATGTGATACAGGGGACACTGGCAGTGTTGAGTAGTGTCTGCCCCCTGTTCCTACTCCTGGAGGGAACCCTCTGTTCCTGCAGAGCCCACTCTGGAATTTTTTTCCCTTCCCAGCCCCGGCCTTTGCAGACAACTTTGCTGACACTCGTTCGAGATGAATTCAGGAATGGCTGCTCTGCCAACAATCACAAGTTCAACTATAATTTGCCACTAAATTATGTTAGTAACAAATATCCGCTGCTGGTTGACGGCGTTTTGAATGTTTAATGTTTCAGTTGCCAGACTGTAGAATCCTGTGTCAGTGGCCTTAAAGCTTCCTTTGTTTGCGAGAGCCCCAGTTGAACAAAGCTCTCTGGAGAACAGAGGTCTCATGTTCGCTGTGGCTGGGACTCCGTGGAGGGTCAGTGCAGGAATCTCATGGTTGGATGCTCTGGTCACAGTGCTGTTCCACAGAAATCACCACTGCTGAGCGTGGAGGAGTTGGCAGTGATGAGTGGGATCTCTGTGTGGGATGTTCTAGCTGTGGTGTGCCGGGTAAGTGCAGATGGCAGAATTGTATTACTCTGTCATCTTTCCTCGGGGCCTCTTAGGAGATTGCTGCCTCCTGGATTAGTGCTGAGGTGGTGTTTGGTTGCTGCCTTGCTCAGGAGCTCTCTTGTAGAGAAAGGAGTAACTGGTACCACGGCACAAGTGCAGTTTGCAAATACTTGTTCAGGCTTAATTTAAATTTAGGCATGATTCATTTGGACTAAGGGACTATAATCCATTTTGTCTCCTGTTAAATAGGGAATACTGTAAAGCATTAGAACTGTGCAAAGCACTTGTCAGAATATTTTTCCTACGAAAAAGAAGGTTTGTTAATTCCTCATAAGGGATAATTGTGCTTGGCTGTCTACCAGTAAGCTTCCCCCATATGTAGATGAGCTGCTTGTGAATCATTTGGGTCATCAAGTATTCTCTGTAGGTAAGGAAGGGTTGGTCCTTGAATTCTGCTTCAAAAATCCCACAGCTGCTCTGTTTTAGGGAGGTTCTAGGGAGTTCATGGGCATTACATTAGTAAGAAATCATAAAAAAAAATCAGTTGTTTGCTGTTCTATTGATAGAATCCAAGTAATTTCTCTGAGGAAGGTAACACATATGCTGGGCCTGTGTTTGTGTGCAGCTTCTTGTCTTGAATTCCTTGTTCCAGGCAGACTTTTGCTTCTTTAGCCTAAGAGGAAGCTTTTCATAGGTTCTTCCCCCACCCTTTTCCATATCAAGTACATATAAATATGTGGATGTGTAAGTACTGCAGCTTGATATCTCACAGCATTTACGGCTGTTGAAGTTCTGTTCAGGATTTCCAGCCCTCCTGGACCACTGATGTTCCCTTTCATCACGCCAGACATCTGACTGTGTGTTGTGAGCTGACCTTCAGGAGCAGAGAGTGTCTTCCTCCTTTAGCAGGACTGTGTAAAAGAAATGAGAATTCATCTCATCCCACGTAGATATAACATGAATATCAGGGAACTTCATAACCTGAACCTCTAAACTGTAGAGCATTCTGCACTGGAGAGGGAGGCATGGAGGAAGTGTCTGGTTAGACTAAACAAAATCTTATCTAGGCCTCAAGTACATTTAATATTGCTGCTTAATAGAGCTGAGGATACATATTTGCTGATTTAAATGCTATGAAGAGCCTTAGTAGATCAGTATAGAGTAAGTACTGCTTAAGTAACTTGTTCAGTGCCTTTAAATTGTAAACACAGATACAATAGAGCACTTAAACTATACTTATTGCAAAAGTGAATTTCCAGCAGGAGCCTGTGGGAAAGTTTTGGTATACTCCCTGTCCTGAAAACCATGTGAATGTGCTAGTGAATGGCTCTGGTTTTTAAATAGTTACTGAAAAGTTCATAACTATTTAAATGCATCTCTGTAATTAATAGGAGGAGGGTAAATTGAACAAAGGTAGACAGAACTGCTTTTACTGTAAAAGCAAGGGACAGTGATTGTCATGTAATATTTGATGGAGCATATTTCTGTGAAATGCCAGGTGGATGCCAACTTTTTGTGCTGTCACTCAATATGTGATTCTACAGTGTTGCTCAGTGAAATGGAATTACTTACATGCATAGACCAAGGTGTGTTTTTAAAACCCAAAAATAAACAAACCCCAACCAACCAAACCTAGTACTGGCACCAGCTCTGAAACAATGAATTTTAACTGCATAAAACTCCTACAGATTCTTTTTTAAGTTACCTCATCTTAAAGTGAGTATTTACTTTGAAAAAAATCTTTGATGATAGTACAGTATTTTCATAAGTGTTCTGTATTTGTCATGTAGATGTGGATTTGATTTATGGCTAGTTGAAAGATGTTGAACTCTTAATTTTAATTTACCAGGGAATTTAAGCATTTTGAGAGAAGAAATTAATTTCCTGATAGTTGATTAAACTCTCTTAAAACCTCTCTCACTAACTTTAATAAAACTTCTACCTTCTTGTCAAGGTGCTGAACTGTGGAGTTTAATTCAGCTGCTCTGATTTCAAAAGTTTGCCCAAGCAAATAGTATTCTGTAAAATTACTTCTCATTTGCCTATGGGTTTGTATGACTTCTGCTTTTTAGGCACTCAAATTCACTGCATTTCTTAGCAAAACACAGTTATTTATCCAAGTGCTTCAAAGAATGATTCTCTCAAATTTGTTTTCTAATGAAACTTAGGCTAACATGTTACTATTAAGTATCCTAACCAGTATTCAACTTTTAACTTAAAATGTGGAGATTCTTTTAACACAGGATCAGAATTGTCTTCTTAAAGGTACAATGTGAATTTAGGTGTCAGGGTGAATTTGTGAGGTAAAAGCACAACAATATTTTTCCCATTAGACATAATGAGAGAACTTGAAGTGCTATAAATTTTGCCTAAAAGTTGAGTATAACGTGGTAATATTTGGAATATCAGATTTTTGTCATAGGGTGTTTTGATGGATAACAATTTAATTTCTAGTCAGTGTTCTTGGAATAATCACAGAGTTTAAAGAAAACCATTAGTTGTCCTAAATTAGATGTCAGTGATTTTTTTTTTTTGACCAAATTTAGAATTAAAGCATAGGAACAAATATAAGCGGTGAAGCTATCAGTGATTTTCTTAGCGATTTGCTAGGCCCTTATTACATCCCTGGAAAGTTTTTTGTGTGCTTTCACGTCTCACAGTTGATGTATATTAATTGGTTTTTTAGGATGGTATTTCAGAAATCCGGGCCTGATCAGCCTAAGTGTTAAAATAACTTCCTTGTGTTGCCTGAGCGTCTCCACTCTTGGGCATATGTGGGAAGTAAATGTTCCTGCATCCATTGAGCCAAGCACGGCTGGCTTCTCATTGTAAGCATTTGTGGGCAAAAGCAGTAGTTGGTATGTATTTAAAGAAAGAGCTTGAAAAGAAAGAAAGCTTTTCTTGCCCTGGTGCTGTTGCTCAGCAGGTTTTTCTCTCGGTGCTTGCAGGTTTTGACTGAACTGGGTTTGACAATTGTCAGGCTGTGGCAGCTCAAGAGCCTGGCGTTTGTTGGCCCTGCTGCAGCAGCCTGGGGTGGAGAGAGAGTGGTGCCAATCCCGGCTTAAGGCTGAAGTTTTGAGCTGTGGCATTAGTAATGGGATCTCTCATTTGAGAGCACACCACAAACGTTGTCCTTCTGCTTTTGTTGTGCTCACTGGTGTCAGAAGAAGCAGCTCCTGTGGATGCAGGGGCAAAGCTAGAAAATGATGCTGGGAGGAAATGGGAAATGTAGGTTAAAGCAAGAGAAAAAGACTGAGCTGGGGAGTTTACTGTGAAGAAATCTGATGATTGGGTGGAAGTTGTGGTAAGAAGAGGTTGAAGTGAGGGAGAAATTGGAGGGAAAGAAAACTACAACAGAGGGGCCCAAGGTGGAGAGATGAAGGGCAGGGGCGAGGGTCAAAAAGTTTGGGAAAGCAGATTAGGATTTTAGAAAAAGACTAGTTAATGTTTTCTGGCTTTGCATAGGAAGTGTCAGAGTGTGCACATGCAGTTGTGAATGTTGGTCTGCACTGAAGTTCAGCTGTCGGACTTTGTGTGCTGAACGTTATTTTGAGAAGAGCTTACACAGCCTTAAGTGGCATTGCAGTACCAGAAATCAGTGTGTTTTACAGGGATGGCTCCTGATTTGAAGACTGATTAACTTGTAGCTGTTTAAAGGGACTGTGTGATGACAAACTTCCTGAACAAACACTTCTTGCTTCTTTCAGGCGGGGCTTGAATCCACCCCATAGAGTGAAGTCGATTTCCATGACTACGTTCACACAACAGGAAATAGAATTTCTGCAGAAACATGGAAATGAAGTAAGTATTATTTGGAGAAGGAAGTGGTTTTGTCACTTTAATATTAAGCTTAAAACACTACTTAAAGAAAACTTGGTGTGGTTTTTTTTTCTTTTTTTAGCAATAACTAGACACAAGTTTTTTTGAAACCAACATCATTTGAAGTTATGCTTCTGAAGAGCTTGGGTAGCTGATCATCATGATGTTGCATGTTATCGCTCAACACAGACAATCCAGATTCACATGATCCATATTTCTGAATTGGGTTCTCTTTTGCTTTTGCATAAGGCAATAAGCAGCTGTCTGTCTGTTTTTTTCCCCCCCTGCGAGCTCAGAACTTGAGACTGACTGCAGCAGTGATTCCTGAGTACCCTGTGACAAAAATAAATACTAAAATACAGCTATGCTGTATTTGTTCAGAGTAGGTGTCAGAAACTCTTCTAGAAGTTTTAATAGCCTCCTTACTTCGTAAGAGTATATCCATGTTGACGGGTCTTGAAGAGGGGAAGGAAACCAAGAAGCTCTAGTGTACTGAATTTTTGGGTTTTTAATAGAAGGAAAAAATTGGAGGTAAATGTTGGATCCACGTAAACCCTGGATATGGCTCTTATGTCTTCAATTCGAGGGTGAAGTTTGTGTTTTAATACCCTACTGTAGTGACATTGTAGTATTGAGGACTCTAGAGGTAGATTGTGCCTCTGTTCAAACTAGATAAAGTTCTGTTTCACATTGATTGTATCTGTATTCTGTTTTAGTGGAACTATTGACTACAGAGTTTTTACTAGTGTGTTCTTGTGAAGCTTTGTGGGGAAATATCCCATCATTCACTGAAATGCTGATACTTGACTTTCTTAACTTGGCCCATTCTTAAGTGTCAGGTTGAAGAATGAAAACAGAAGGAGCAATTTCTTTTTCTCTCCTGGTAAATACGCTTTAGTTGTTGAAATGACTGTTGGTCGATGATTTCTCTAGACAGAGCTGGATCAAGGTCTAAACTCTTCTTGACATTATAAAATACTCTTGATGGCTTAGGTTGGTTGGGTTTTTTAAAACTGTAGAGCATTGCATGTATATATTTGTATATATGTATATCATATTGCTGACTTTCTTCATAGGGAAAATAATAAAGAATCTCCTTTGTGTTATATAGATTATTTTGGAGTCTCTTTCCATAAGATTAGACTCCAAACTTCAGTGTAAACTGAAGTGATTATTGTCTTAAACACTTCTAGAAGTTTAAATCCTAACTAAACATGTTTTCACTTTGTTGTGCTTTGTATTGCAGTAGTTAAATACTCATTTTGCTTTCTCTTGTTAGTATTGGACTTTGGAATACTTATCTGCAGATAAGATAAAAGTATTGGACAGATGAAATTCATCTGACCTCACAAAAACCTTTGCTTAGCTTCTCTTCAGCATAGGAGGTTCTTGTGTCTATATGAAAAAATAAAATTTCTTAGGATGAGACTTCAGACATGGAATTGTTCAACGTATTGGAACATGTACATGTGAAACAAAATGCAGTCACTGAACAGCTTAGATGTTGTAACATTGGTTTGTTCTGCATCTACATACATATATACATACATATATATATATAAACTCTTTGCAATCTGTTATGTTTAGCTTCCATCTTTCTGTAACTTTTAAAATACTTTAATTCCCCCTTTTTTTCTTCTGGTCTTTGTCCAGCATGGCCAAGGTCTCTGTGGTAAGCTCTCTTGCCTCCAGATGGGTAGATCATGGTATACAATGGGGATCTTGTTCTGAATAGGAAGGAAAATAGCAAGCAAGCTTCCATGATGAGATAAAGTAATTATTAAGGTGGTGAGTTGTTCTTAGAGGAAGTAGTTTTCCACTCTCCTTCAAAGAGTTTAAGGTCAGTGTATTGAATGAGGTTGAAGTTCTCTTAAAAAAAAAAACAAACCGCAATGAAACAACCAAACCAATCAGTGAAACCAAAACACTTCCTAATATCTGCAATACTAACTTTTTGTGAGTTGTTGTAAATTACCCTCTTGGTGGCACAGATGGGTAAAACTGAAAAGCTTCTACCAAGCCACTGCTTTGGGAAGAGATTGTCAGAGCAGCTTCTCTTGAGGCGAGACACCGTATTCCCTGTATATACACTTCTAAGGTAACTTGATCTTTATTTTGGATGAGTTGTTACTGCTTGAAATACACTTTTAAATCCTTTTGCTGGCTTAGAAAACTTCTGTATTTTGGTGTTGTTTACTCATCTGTAGGTATAAACAGATGTCCAGACTCTGGTTTTGCTAATGTTGGGATTTGTCTCACTTTTGTAGCAAGAATAGAGGCATCTTCCAGCTGATATTCCTCAAGTGCCTTCTGAAGACCTTTTGAAGGATAAAGGCAATTGTGATTCACTGGGTAGGGTTTTTCCCCTCCTCCTTCTCTTCATGAAGAGCTGGGTGAGGTATTTTCGCATATTCATGTTAGGAATAATGAGGAGAGTGTGGTGTGGACATGCTGGTGTGTGAATACTCACACTCAAATGATGCCAGGGTTGATTAGGCCTCTGAATTGATTGTGCAATGGTAGTAGGAAGTAAACTTGCTGTTTGCAGAAAGTGGAGGTGGTGCTAATCTCATGTTGCCATTATAGCTGTGAATATTTATTCAGAAACTTCTCCCTGAAGCTGAAAAATGGTATTATGAGGAAAACCAGTTGCACAGTTTAATTTTTCTCCTGCACTTTTGAAAAATGACAGGGGTTTTATAGCCTTTCCAAGTAACCTATTCTAATATGCATATGGTCAAAGAAAAAGACTTTGATGGTCTTGTATTTTAAAAAATCTGTGTTCCTCTGGGGGAAAGGACGGTGTTTACCTGAGCTAGTGAGTGAAATGAGATGCTGGTATGCTCAGCTGCTTGGGGTTATCTTAACAGTGCTTAATTCTGTTTTGGGGCCAATCTTCCTGACTCTCAATAGCACCTGAGGTTGCAAGGTGTAAGTTGCTGCATTCTTCAGAAGCTGGTTCAGAGCTGCCCTTAGGCCTGACCAGAACTTTTTCCTAGACTCTCCTCACTATGGAATATGGCCTAATAACCCAGGAGTGGAAAGAGCAATATTAATCTGGAGCTGCTGAGTCCTGACAGCACGAGCTGTGCAGTCAGGTGTCCTTGTAGGACGTTCCTGGTTCTGCTAATACGATATAGAGATCCATGAGCTGATTGTGTGTGGAACAATGTCTTTGTTAGCAGGATTTACTGCCTTGACTCTGCTTATGAAACAGCTACAACTTCTGGACCCAAACTGCCTTTGAAATCAGTATGCTGGCAGTATAAAATTCTCTTAACCTACAGAGATTAATGAATAATATTGACATCAGAAGTGCAGAATTACTAAGCAAAGCTATAACTTGCTTACATTAAGGAAACTGTTTCTGAATCTGTTTCTTCCTGTGGGGTGAGTGTTATGTTTTGGAACATAGTTTTGTTGTGTGGTGATTTGCAGCTCTTTGCACTGTCAGCATTGCATTTGGTGCAAAACTGAGGGTATATTATTGGCAGGGAGGGGGAGAAGGAGAAATCTAATTTGTCATTTACCAGCCTCCTGAAAGGTAATATCTCATTAGAGCTTTTAAAACTAGACTGACACGTGTAATCTTCCTATGCCAGTGGTGTGTCTGGGTCTCAACAAGTGTTGTAGGTCAAGGAGTTTGCTTTTCCTGGTTGAAGTGCAGCTTCTACTGGCAGAAGTACCTGTCCTGTTGGGGCTTTTCCTTGCCTTGCTGCCCTCACTGCATACAAGAGGAGGAGGCTTCATGAGCAAGAACTTTAATTTTGCTGGCTTAACTGAATTTTTGTTGTTCCTAACTAGCACAACTGTGCTAGCAGGAGTTTCTAAAGTGTGGTGGCTCCTTGTGTTGTGTAAGCAGGAGGCCTTTGTCTCTCCCATATCCGCCTTCCCACACCCCCTGGAGATCTGTATCAGTGAAATAGTTAGGACTATTAGTGGGGAAGTGTTGTTTGGTAGTTCAGATATGTAGCACTGGAATCTCAGATCCTGTGTTTCTCCAAAATTTGATGGGTGTTGTCAATTCTGTTCTTTATTAGCAAGTTTTTGGTGTGCCTGTCCTTCCCCACTTGGCCAGCTCTGTAAAAACACACGGAAAAAAACCCCTGAAACATGTCAATAAACCTAAAAGCAAAAGAAAAGCTAAAGTTTTGTGGAAAACAGGTACATGTATTTTTCTCTTAGACTCTGAGCCCTGTGTAGAACTCCTGAAAGCTTGAAATGTTACTGGAGGCTGGGGTTTAAACCAGAAACCTTTCTGGTCAACTTTGTTTTGTGGTGTACACAGATGTGCACTGAGTGGGATGTGCACTTTGCTCCTTTCTGTCAAAGCTGAAAACAAGGGTAATTCCCCAAACTGTAGGACTACAAATGTAAATAATGCATGGAAAATAAGATGGGTGAATCTAATGACTCTAGGAAAAAAACAGTTTCTATGTCAAATGGAATAGCTGTGGAATGCACATCAGGGAAACCAATGGCATGAAGAGAAATATAGGTAAAGACTTTATTATAACATACACTGTGCACTTGGCCCAATTTCTCCTTTCGATGATATATTTAAGTTAGGGTAACCCACAGTTTCTGCCTTGCTACCTCCTGGGTTTTTATCTAGGTCAGGGTGAGTAGGTTGAAGCTGGATGTGATTCTCTTTCCCTCTTTACTTCACGCTGTACTTACTGATCTAATTCTGAATGTCCCAGTATCCAGTTGCCAAGTGTCTAATGACATCCCTTGCAGGACTGGAACTTGTTGGCAGAAGACAGGTGCTGTTCTTCCCAAAGTGGTTGTAAGGGGATTCTCATGAACTGTTACATTTCCTGAAGACAACTGCTGAATCTTGTTATCTGCTTACACCTGACAAGATGAAACTTTGCTTTGTCTTGTTCCTTTGCAGCCCTCACAGTGCAGGAGGGACGAAAATTCAGAGTATTGCTTCTGTCAACAAAAGTAGACTCTCAAATGCTGCATATGCTTAATCATTCCGACTTCAATGCTGTCCCTTTTTTCCCCTGCTGCACTGGTGAACCAGTGGGACATGGACTAATTATACTTTTCAGGGACAGTGGACAATGGTTATGGATTGTTGGATATGTTCCACTGTTTCTAGGGGCTTCCACATAACTTGAATGTTTACTCTTGGCTCCAGCTTGTCAGGCTCTTCTTCTCTAAGCAGAGCATTTTGTTTGATAGAGCTTTGGTTATCAAAAGAAAGAGTCGAGCAGAGCTTTTGGTGAATGAGCAGAGCTTTTGAGGAGAGGCTTATTTGTACTGCTGTGGCAGAAAGAACAATATTAATATTAAATGGCTGAACCAGAGGGTCCCCAGGGAGATGGTGCAATGAAGAAGGATTTCAGAAAGCCAGAGAATTTTTAGGCCCAATACCTTAACAGTGGTGTTGTGTAACTGTGGGGTGAGTTGGCACGATGCTTCCTGTATTATCTGTAAAAGCAAAGGAATGAGTAATTCTGTTAAAATGAAGCTTGAGATGTATCATGGAACTTGGGCAGCAGCATTTTCTGAATGAGCTCTGCAAGTTTGATTTATACATGGAGTAGCTAGAGAGGTGGTTTGGAAAACATGCTCTTTGGGAGATCGAATTCAAATTTCTCAAGGCATGAATTTTCAAAATAAGCAAAAATTGAGAACAATTACTTCAGTGCTTTTTTTTTCCCCTCAAATAGTTTGTATTAAAAAACTAAGAAGAAAACTGTGTTTAGTAGATCAACTGGCTGCTTACAGCTTGGGTTTGTACAGATTTACATTTCCTTTACTGCCTTTTTGCTCTTCCTGCTCTCATGTCCTGCAAGACTCAGCACATGCTGTGTGTAAATGTGCTGGTTTGTTCAGTGTCCTCCCTGGGGCAGCTCTAGGGCTGGACAGAACACAGAACTGAAGTTCAACTAAGGTTGCCAATCTGATTTTTCTGTATTTCATAGTTAATCTCTTAGTATCTGTCAAATTCAGATGGTGAATTAGTGGGGAGTAATCAATGTTACCAAATATATAAATGCTGAGTGATCATTCCCCACCATAAAAACAGCAAGTTGTATGGCATAAATTTCCTTGATCTTTATCATGAGAGTTACATTTAAATAGCTTTGAAATAAAAATATGTGATGACCTGATCCATAAAAATACTCAGCAAATATAGAAATTTCTCACAGCAAACTTTTTTCTTTGCACAAGATTCAGGACTGTTAGTGACTTATTTTAAAATGACTATGGAAAGATAACCATTAAAACCCCCCACAATCACATGATAATATGAGTTCTCTAACCAACAGTTTTTTAAATTTTATTTTTCAATTTTGATTTCATCCCGTGGCACTGCACAGCACTGCCACTTGTGTTTTTGTAGATGGCTGAAAATTGTGTTTTGTGGTTCCCTTGAAGCATAATCAATGCAGTGTTGTGGATCCCTGTCAAGTCAGATGATGGTAACAGAAGTGTAGCTGGAAAGAGCACACAGGTCACCAGCAAACAGGGCAGGACAACGAGCCTTTCATTGTGCTCTGAATGCGGGCTTGGAACGGCTGCTGATGTTGAAAGCATTGTGTGGTACTTCATACAGAAAGGGACAAAACCATCCCTTCTGATGGTTTCTTGTGTGATATTAAAGCTTTATAAAATTTGGCTTTTTAAGGACTCAAGTCAGAACCATGTAAGTTAGAATAGGTAAAGTCATCGAGGATGAAGTAGGAAGACAAACCCGCTGGTTTTTGGCAGAAGCATTGTACAAAATGCCCTTCTGAGCATGTGATTTACCCTTTGTATTCTGCTCAGGGTGTATACCCACTCACAGTTTTATGGTTCATTTTCATCACTATCTAAATCCAAACTGCTCTCATCCGCTGTGGTGTTCTGCTTTTGGCTTCTAAGACTTGTCCATATTTAATCCTTTTAAGCAATTCTACTTTCTCTGATAACTGCTTATGTAAAGAAACTCACATGATAATTAATTTGCATCTCTGGTGTGATAAAGTAAATCTTTTGTTCTGTGTTTGTATGGCTCCTGCTGTCAAACTTTGTTACACTGACAACTTCTTGCTGAAGCATGTGAGACTAAGGAGGTTCTTCTGCTTGGTGTTTGTGTGTTGCCCATCAGTAAAACTGAGAAACAATAAAGAGAGCCTGGCAGGCTGTTTAAGTAAATTACTGTAGCGACTTTAAGGCATATTTTAGTTGTTACTACTTTTTGTGGTTAGGTACTAAGAAGGAATTAGTTGCTCCAGGAAGCCCTTTTGGAAGCCTGCTTTTTTTGAAGGTTTGCAGAAGTTGCAGTGCAAGAGCAGATGCCTTTAAGAAGCTTGCATCATTTTAAGCTAACAGGTGTTCAGCACAGTCCTCCTCCGTCCCTGTTTGCATATTCATAGAGCTGTTATCTACTACAGCTCCATGGCTGAGAACGAGCTCAAGTCACACAGGGCCTCGTTTTCTGATTAGAATTCTCTTAGAATTCACCTGTAATGGTCAGGGTTGCTCAAGCCTGACGGTTTTCCTTGTCCTCCTCCAAACGCTCAGGCACTGCAGGGTGAAGGTGAAGCAGCAGAGCAGGAGGAAGGTCGATGACTGGGTTGTGGTTTGACTGTTGCTGTGAGCTGATCTCTTGCAGGTTTCAGTGGTGCTACTGACATGGTAATTGTGATGAGTTTCTTTGATCTGACTCGTTTTGGGTGGCAGTAGAAGGAGTAATTGAGTGGCCTGACATGGGTGGGGATGAGGACCTCCTTTTCCTTTTGCCAGCCCATCTCGGGCTGGATGCAGATGGATTATCGTGGTACAGCCCCAGGTGTCACTGTGCTGGCTGTGAGATCAGGGGCTGTTGTGACACTTGTCCAAAATTGAGCACTTTCTCTTTTCTTCTGTGTTTCCTGATGATCCTCCCAATACTGAAAAGGAGGTTGGGAGGGGACTGTGTAGATTTGGACACCACCAACTCCTGCTGCTTGAGATTCTGTAAATAGCCACAGGCAGGGCTTCTCTTCCTCCCAGCAATCATATGACTGCTACTTGTATAGTTATACTCACCAATCTAAGTATGGAAATACTATTGCTGGCCCACCTCAGACAATCCACTGCAGGTTTAAACCTGTACACTGAAATATCCCGACTTGATACATTTTGTCAGCAAAAAGTCGTGCTCATGTGAGAAATTAGTACTATTAAAACAGTGATTCATGCTATTGGCTTTTATTTTAGAACAGACTTGTGACTTTTTTGACTAAGTTTATATCTTTTTAAGTTTGCATGAAGAAGTATTGAACAGATAAATTAAGTTTCATTTTATCTATTATCATGCTGCAAATGAGTGCTTAATTTTGAGAAAAATCAATGCACTGAACTTAACCCTTTTGTGGAATACAATTGCCAAATGAATGTAGAATAGCTGAGTTTATTTGAGGGTGGAACTACTGACCTTATTTTTAGATGAGTAGCAAATGTAGAGCTATCTTTTGATCATTAGGTCTTTTTGTTTGTCTCTGTCCAGTAGATGATAATAAGGACTGTGGAGTGTTGGACATGGAGTCAGGCTATATAAAACTGAGACGTCAAGTATGAAATACATAGTTATGATGTCTGTCTAATCTCTCTAATCCTGAGCAATCTTTGAAATGACCTCTAAGATTTATGACTTTTGACAACTGGAGCTCCCTGGCCAGGTAAAGAAGAAAAAGCCTGGTTGGGGAAGATGATGAAGTGGAAGTGTCACAGCTTCTACACAGATTTGCCAACTTTCAGAGCAGTCTGTTTATGCAGCTCTTGTTTGGTAGAGCACGTGCTTCTCCTGAAGGTCACTGGGGACAATGTTGAAAACGTGACACTCGCAGGGATAGAGGACATGTTTGAGGAAAGTATGTAAGAGGGGTGGTCAGGACTATTTCAGAAAGGGTGTGGGTGGAAAGTGTGTGCATCATAAAAACAAAGCTTTTTTGACTCTGCTTCTCTGGAAGAAGCCTGTTCTGAAGTGGCACTCTGATTTTTTGAGGGTAGCTAATGTTTGGTGTTACCATTTGAGTGCATATTAAGGTAACTTGTACAATGGTCTGAAGTGCTTATAACATTTCAAGTTAAAACTCCTACGTCTTCTTTAGTTTTGAGAACACCTTTCCTTTTGTTTTTTTTTGTCAGGAATTGAAGTTTGAATGTACTGAGAATTTTGCAAGTGGTTCAACTTTTATCACTCACAACTACAATTAGAAAGTTGAAGCAGAGCAATAGTATTTTTACCCCTTCTCTCCTCAATGTATGTGATATTGTAGAAACTGCATCACGGTAACAAAGAGTTCCTGTACTCAAATAGTAATTTTAAGTATAAATACTAAACCTCAGATCCTTTAAAATCTACCATCTGGGTCTTAGGGCATATGGAATCCGTTGAAACAGTTTAAACCCTGAAGTGCAGGTAAAGGGAACACATGGAATTAGGTGAAGGGAGAAGAGTCTTAAAGATCACAAACAGAAATCAGGTGCTTTGCATTCCATGAGTACATTCTACAGATACTTTGTAAAAGCAGTGTTGGGTGGTGAAATTGGATGCTGGGATTTGCTTGCCCTGCAGTGACAGATGGTCTTTCAACTTTAAGTATTTAGACAAGTACATGGTGCACCAGTCAGTTGTGAAACCAGCTCTGGAATATGACAGCACCCATCCTGCCAGAGTTCAGGAAGCACTGGGATGATCCTCTCAGGCACATGGTGTGACTCTTGGGGATGGTCCTTTGTAGGGCTAAGGGTTGGACTCTGTGATCCTTGTGGGTCCCTTCCCAGCCACACAGTTTTTAATGGTTTAATGGATTAACAATAGTCATCCTAAATAGATTTTTAATTAAGGTATTTTCTCTGATCGATCTGTGTTGTTGTGTTTGTTTTTTTTTTTATTAAGGTGTGCAAACAGATTTGGCTAGGCCTGTTTGATGATAGGTCATCAGCAATTCCAGACTTCAGGGATCCACAGAAAGTAAAGGAATTTCTACAGGAAAAATATGAAAAGAAAAGATGGTAAGATACCTTTACAATTATAAAGATTGCCTCTGTGATGAGAAGGGAAGATGGACTGTTTCTTCTCATTTTTGAGTGTGCTTTTTTGTGGGCTCTTCAGACTGGGTTGCACAGCTCTGTAAAGTAAATGATTTCTGAACTTCATGCAGAGCTTCTACAGGAAGCAGAGAAGACAAGCTAAAAACGTTTCTCAGTGTTCCTACTGATGGAATAGAAATGGCTTAAGGGGATGTCAACAACATGTAAAGTAACAATTTTGCAGACTTTTATTAGGATGGGAAAGACACGCGTTGTTTGTACTTAATAAGTGCTAAAAATACCAATTTTATATTCGAGTCCATTTTTAAAGAACTGTCTGGCATATTTAAATAACTGCTATTTTGCAAACTACTGATAGAATCCCTAGCAGGATCAGGGTTTAAGAACTGTTGCTCTCCTTGGGTTGCAGGTATGTTCCTCCAGAGCAAGCCAAGGTGGTGGCGTCGGTCCACGCGTCCATCTCGGGGTCCTCTGCCAGTAGCACAAGCAGCACACCCGAGGTGAAGCCTCTCAAATCTCTCCTGGGAGAAGCTGCACCCGCACTGCACTTAAACAAGGGCACACCCAGCCAGGTGAGTCACGACAAAGCTGTTCTGGACTGCTTTCTCCTCTCTTAGTGGCACAAAAATTCTTGGAATAGCAACTGTTATGATCCATATGAATGGTTATTTTCAGTAAGCATAGGCTTCTGGTGTGATGAGTGTAATTATGATGTCTTTTGTTTAAGTAGCTCTAAACTTTGAAGCAAATTGTGATATATTTTCATGTTTCCTTTTAATTGCAAACAATAAAAGGACTGATACCATTAACCAAGAGATTAGTAATGAATATATGGGTGAAAGCATGCCATGCTTATTATTACTTCCTGTGCATTTGAAACTGGCTTATCAGGTGGTTTTCAGGGATGCTTTCAGTATGCTTTTATGTAAAGCCAAACAACACTAAGTACTTTGATTTTTGGAGGGAAGACAAGTTTTTTTTTTTTTTGAAATCTGCCTTCAGGGTACAAGCAACTCCTGAATGGATCTTTTGAGACTCAGACAGTAGAAATTTGCGACTTGAAACCTGCCTGTGAAATTTGTCAATGTTTCTCTCCCTGTACTGAATTGTAAAGATTTTTTTCAGAATGTAGTGAATAACTATTTTTCATCTTACTAAATTTAAGTTTTATTGCTTGTATTTGTACATTATTAGTGGCTTAAAATATATAATTCTGAAGCTGCCAATGTATTGCTACTTTGTTCTTCTAGGCCCTATTAAACCATGGAAATGTGCTGCAGAGTTCCTTTAAAAGCCACAGTAGTAACATAAATAGTCCTCCTACTGTAGGAGAAGGGTCTGTGCTGTACAGAGCATCCTAAACGTCAGGAGTAAATGTCATGTTAAAGAAATATGCTTAGCTTGTTCTAATATTTTGCAAGTGTCAGTCTGGTGAAATAGCAGCTTTTCCTAGCAGCTAATTGGAGTGTTGTTTGTAGTCTCCTGTTGTAGTTCGATCTCAAGGACAGCAGCAACAAGAAAAGAAACAATTTGACCTCCTCAGTGACCTTGGCTCAGATATCTTTGCTGCTGCTCCTCCTCAGTCAACTGCTCAGTCAACAGCGAATTTTGCTAATTTTGCACACTTCAACAGTCATACAGGTAGGTGTTGGGACCAGTGTATCCCTTTTAAATCTATAAAATGTAGCTTTAATTTTGATGACTCTAGACTAAACTTGATGAGGTGTATGTGATCACTGTGCCTTAATTGCTCAAGATTTAAGTCTTTATAAAGAAAGACTGAAGAGACAATGACAATTCTGCTTTTTGAAGTGGGAGTTGCTATAGCTATTTTCTAGGGTATGTATGATTAGACTGTTTCTACCTACTACGAAACTTCAACTTCTTTGGGGGAGAGAGTGAGAGGATGAGTAACAAAATGTCGGGAGAAGGTGATATTAGACCTTCAGTTTTCTTTCTGAAAATTATTAGGAAGAGCATTTGTGGAAAACAAGCAGATAGAGAGACTTGAATGGAGTTCAGATGCATTGATAATATCTGCTAGTTTGTCAGCAGAAAAACAAAGGCTTCTTCAGTTTAGTGAGCTCCTCTTTTGTGTGTATGTCTGTTTGAAAACTGAGTACTACCCATGTGGACAGTATTCTGTAGTTTCAGGAAGAATAAATAAGCCTTGAGCTTATGTATTGACTGAGGAGGCCTTGAATTCTTGGAGAATGACTTCAGTAAAATATATTGAGCCCTCGGGGTTTTTTTTCAGCCAAAGATCTAGAGGCGGAGAAGTCTGTCCTAAAGAAAAAGTTGGTTCTGTGGTCACTGAAGTTTGTTGTTGCTAACTTGCATTGTAATTGTGGGAAAGTACCTTTGCCTGCCTGCTCTGAAAGGGCTTTTCATCCAGTTTTTCTGAGAAGAACTGTGATGCTGCTAAGCCACCAAGAATAAGAGATATTTCTTGTAAATCAGTCCTGAAACGGAGACAACCCAAGAGAAAGTGTGGAGGGGACCTGAGATTCACATCTGAGGAACTGAGCAAAATACCAAGGATTTGTCAGAGTTAACTTCCAACACCAAATGTTGTGAAATAACTGGTTGAATTCAGGAACACTGCAACAGCAGTTTTTATTCTGTGTATTTTGTAAAGTCCTTCCAATAGGTTTTATGTTAACCATGTTTTTGGAGGTATGTTTAGCTAGGAGAACTTGTGCTGACTGGCCAATAGACTGCAGATAGTTAATTCTTTCTAATAACTTCTTCTTTCCAAACTTCTTGCAGATGATTATTTATGTACACTTACTTATTCTTTGTAGGTTTTAGGACATGAAAATTCCATTAAAGCAGTATTTCAATACTGCGTTCCAAATCCAGCTAAAATCTCTGCAGGGTAATTTTTAAAATTATAAAAAGCTATCTGAATGCTCCAGAATAAATATCATCTTAGGAAAGAGTCTGTTAATTTCTGGTTGAAAGAAGTGCTGAAAATCAAAGTTGAGAGGAATATTCAGATGCACTGACTAGTTTTCCGTTTCAATAACTAACCACTGCAGTCTTTTTCCTGTGACTTCTTTCCATAAGTTTTAGAATCCAAAGCAGTTTCAGGGCTAGTAAATGGGTTTCTTGCAGACAGAAACCTGATTTTGAGCATGCAGTAACTGAATGTGCATTGCAGACCTGTTACCTGGAGGTGTTTTCTGACTTGCCTGGGTAAAATGCTCCTGAGGCTTGTTCTTGTGTCCAATAACTGCAGGGTAGTGCAAATGAATAAACAACAAAATGTTACAGATTCTTCCCTTTGGAACACGAGGAGGGTTGATCAGTCTGCCAGCTTTGGCAAAAATGAGTTGGAAATGCTCATTAAGGAGTTGTATCAACATGTGATTTTTGTTAGTAATTGCACAACTGCAGCAGAGGATGGAGGAACCTGCCCTTAGTCCAGCACTACTTTCTCAAAGTTTCTAGTCTGGTGTTCTTGCTTTGAGCTTGTTTAGCTATGCCCAAAGGAGGATGGACTCTTCATTTTCCCTTTATGTACATTATGGTTAACTAAAGAAATCCCTGAAGAGCACCAGCAAACTTAAGATCTCTCAGTATAAGTTACTGTTACTAAAGCAAAACTGAGTGCAGCAGCTGATAGGAAAAGATGAACAAACTTGTGCTGTAATCCCTAAAGTAGAGGTGTAAATCTTGAAAATTATGCAGGAAGTGCAACTTTTGATATGTTCCTGTTCTCAGAGCTTTTTAATGTACTGAGCTGGCTCAGGACATCATTGCCTCTTAAAGGGTAAACACGCTGACCTTATGTTTACTCTCTGTATTTAATTTACAAAGTTCCACAGTTTCTGCTAAATGATGAGATTCTGGAGATGGTACAGAACTCTTTGTGCTTTACAGACTGGTAATAGGAGCAAGGATCAAATTCTGTAGATTTTCTATAAACTAATGGAATAGAAGATTGCATAAAAGATTTCAGAAAGGTGTAGTGGCACAGCACAACTGCCACAGGCAACGTGGGAGAAGAAGCTTTATCTAGAAGAAATAAAACACTACAACATAGTTATTTTCTAGAGAGTTATTTTCAACTTTGGATATATAAGGACTTTATTTTAGGGTTTTTTTGTTGTTTTTATTTTGCAGTGCTTTATGCCGTTATTGCACACCAGTTGGTGCAAACCTCATAGAAGAAACTGTGCAAAGATTGTAGGGGCAGCAGTTCCTTAACTTGCTTAGAACTGCTCTTAGGTTCTTGCATGGAGAACTGAATTTTGGAATTGCCAGTGTACATATTGTCCAGGTACAGGAAAGTAGGAGTCTTACCTGATCTTTGCCTTTGTGCCACATTTACATAGGTTTAAACTTCACAGCATAAAATAAAGCCAGATTAACATCTGAATACACTGCTGAAGTTTTTACAGCTCTGCTGTTTGAGCATGGGCCCATTTGCAGTCATGGTTTGTGTCAGCTGATGCAGTAAAATTAAGTATCCTGTAATGTACTCCAGTTTTCAATCTTCATTTAAGGTTCTTGACATACTGCTCTGTTTGTGTGAGTGGTTAAAAGGAATATTTTGGCCATAATTCTGAGTGACATTTATGTGCTTAATCCTATTTGGTCAACTAAACATCAGTCTCTCAGTATCTGTCCAATTAATCGATCAGGATGAAAGCATCACTTTCATTTTAAAGCAAGTTGCAGTTGGTTTCTTAATTCTTCTTAAAAAGCTACTGGTTTAAAAACCAAAACAACTCAGACTGTGGAATTAGGAGTTGGAGTCTGCAAAATGCTGTTTGGACCAATACAGATAATAAGATAATAGAAGGAATTTTTCACCTGTTTGTGCCGACTTTTTCTCCTTGCACACTTTAAAGTGAAAATAACTTTGCCAGGATTTTGCTTTCTCTTTGATGCTTTTTTTTTTCCCTTGTTAACTCTGATGCAGTGGTGTTTTGACCTTGCCTGGCTGTTCACTCCTCCCCCTCAGGAGGGTGGGGGGGGATATCTGACTACTAAATAATGGTACTTAAGCAATAATTTATTCTTTTTGTATATACTTAAATCCCTCCAGAATAAACAAATTCTGATCTAAAAATATAATGTATTGCCATCTGTTATTCCAGAAGGTGTTTAGTGGGCTTTCTTTAGATAGTAACTCCAGTTACCTATATAAAGAGGTGTGGTTTGCATTTGATGAAAAACATTTTTTTCCCTCCTTGCTTATAATAGAGTTGAAGGGTTTCTGTGGAGCTGGTCAGTTAGGCATGCAATTCCTGTTGAATCTAGAGATGCTTGAATGTCCAGCTGTTTGAAATTAGATTAGTGTTAACTTTTATTTTCTCCTATAGTATGGCACGAAAGGAAGGCGAAAACTGAAATTCTGTTTGAAATTTCCTTGGATTTTATTTTGTGGATACACTCTATGAATGCTATCTTCCTGACATTGGTATTGATTTTCCATATTTCTGTACTCTAATTTAGTGGTTTTATTTTTTAAGGACTGAATTTTCCAGTTAGATGAATTTATAAACCCAGGCAAAACCACTCAAGTGGTGCCAAACTTAATTCAGCTGAGGACACTAAGGAAGAAGCACTTTGTATATGGAGAATTTGAATTGCCAGTGGATACAAGAACACCTTCTAATTTTTGTTCATTTAGCCAACATTCTAGTTTTGGAAGCCAGCACTTAGAATGATACCTGTTAGGGATCCACAGGTATATATCTGGTATTCTGTGCTTTATGGCTGTTTTTCCCTGAGCAGCACCACTGCAAACACTTTTGGGTTAAGCTGTAGTTGACTTCATCAGGCCCTGCAGTTGGGAGTAGCAGGATGTGTGAGGAGGACAGAAGTAGCGTTGACTGGTACAGCTCTGGGAAGGTGATTTGGGAAAGCTTGTTCAAAGACAACTTTGAATTGCAGAGAAACATATGTAATTTTTTTTCATGTGAAAAAACAAGTGCACGGTAGGACATAACCCTTGGAGGCTGTCATGACCATGAGTTCAGTGAATACATCTGTTTTTGTGTTGATTTCCCATATCCATTAACATGTTTTGTTCCTTTGCGATTTACAGCGCAGAACTCTGCAAATGCAGGTTTTGCAAACTTTGATGCATTTGGACAGTCTAATGGCTCGAGTAATTTTGGAGGTTTCCCCACAGCAAGTCAGTCTCCTTTTCAGCCCCAAAACACAGGTAGAACTCCTAGCACTTTTGATTAATACTTAATTGAAATAATCCTTACCTTTATGTCGGAAGGTATTGAAGTTGAGTTTTTCTTGCATCTGCCTGCTTTAATGCGATCAAGCCATCTGAAGCTCTGGGGAAACTCAAAATGAATTCCTTCTGTTTGGTGTTGATTTTTTTTTGGTTTTTTTTTTTCCCCTAGTGCTACTCATAAGTCTGATTTATGGCACTGTGTGTTTGTTAGCTCTACACCTGAAATAACCATGCAAAGAGTAAACCATACTGCTTTTGATGAGTGTTGAATTGACTCTTTATCTTCTGTTTCAGTAGACCCAAAAGCACACCACAGTACCAAAAAAAGTGTGTGTCTCTGTGTATGTGTAGCATATACACACACTTCAGTATCTTTGACTTCATGTGTAGAGCCTATTGCTAAGATTTATTTTGCTTTCCTTTAATTTGATCATGCTTTAGGACTTCTGCTTGAGCTTACACTTGCTGTTTGTCTAGATCTTTGGCTGACTGACTTTCTTTTCCTTTTTTTTTTGTTTTTCTTTTGAGTGTGGTGTTGTTTTAAACTTTTTTTTCCAAATTTTCTTTCTCCCTTCTTATGTTAACTTTAACCCACACACAATTTCTGGCTGTCCAGCGTTCAGAACGCTTTCATCTAGCTGCAGTTTTGGTGAATTTACTTCAGCTTTTCCTCTCCAGGCTGTACACAGTAAGTTCCACGCAGTGGAAAACTCAGCTTGCTTCATTTTATGCCATTGTAGTGTAGCCCTTCCATTCCTACTGTTGCATCTGTTGTAACTTGTTGATTATGCTATTAGAAAGTCATGTGTTCTGTATTACGAGTGCAATCATCAACCAAATGTTGTAAAACGTGGCACACTTAATGGAACAGCTCAACATAAATTTAAGTACATGACCTGCCTAGATTAAATTGTCTGGACACCGAAGAGGTGGAAGCTCATGGTTTCATAATTGATTTGAAGTTCAGTTGTGCGGACCCTTATCAGATTTCTAAAATTGATTTATGCATCTGATGTCAGTGGAGACTTGGTATAAAAGTGTGTCTTCCCCATCCCCTCTTTCCTGATTGGATGTGGTCTAAAACTCTGGAGAACAGAGAACCAAACCATCTAAACCTTGGCATGAAACCATACTACTCTTAGACTTCTAGGCACTGGTTTTTGCTTAGGAGGCTGACTGACATTTGACTGCTGACAATGATTAGCATTAACGTGGTTAAGCATTGAACCCTTAAGTAAATACAAATGGTAGCTATTCCTTAGCCACACATGGCAGGAAAATGAAGCTTCTGGATTTTGAATATTAAAGATCAAGACAAGTACTTTTGCTTTTCTAGTAAAATCTTGTTGAAATTACTTTTTAACAGCTAAGAAACAGCATATAGTTTTCAACATCAAATTACGACTGTGATTGAAGCTGTTGAAGTTTGGGGGGTTTTGTCCCTGATCTGCAGACCAAAAAATATATTAGAAAATGGGTTTTTTTTCTGATGACCCAGTGAACTTTGAAGGAAATGGGAAAGAGTCTTAAGTGTGTGGGATGGGGTGGGGAAACATGTTGCCTCATGAAACCACGAAGGGGGTGGGGGTTAATGTGCCATCAGTTACAGGTGGAGAAACTGTCTCTAATTTTGGAGTATTGATCATCTTTAACTTAATTTGTTACAGGTGGAAGTGCTGGATCAGTGAATGCTAACTTTGCTCACTTTGATAACTTCCCCAAATCCTCCAGTGCCGATTTTGGAGCCTTCAATGCTTCTCAGAGCAACGCCACAGCAACTGCAGCCGGTAAAGCTGCAGTGAATAAACTGAACCTCCAGTCAGCTGACAAATACGCAGCTCTTGCTAATTTAGATAATATCTTCAGTGCAGGGCAAGGTATTAAACTTCATTTCTTTGACATGCTTATTCTGTATGTGTGTAGTTACCCTGAGGATGGCTGTGCTTGTCAAAATAGTAACTGTATTTCAAACTACCCTTTCTCTAAGTGATCAGTAGAATTTCATGTCAGTGGGCCCTTAAAGTGTAAGATGTAAGCTTTAAGGCTGACATCTTTCCAAAAGGATGTTATCATGACTGCATTTTAGAAATCTACTTCCCATCAAGATGAAGAATTCTAAATTGAAATATCTGAACTGTCATTACTGCAGTAATGAAAACAAACAAGCAAAATTTATATTTGTACTAAAACCTGTAGTGGAGGCTCTTGAATGGAGAGCTGAAGTTGTTGCAGAGAGCTGCCAGAGGAGCTTTCCTACCTCTCTGCCACAAAAAGATTGCGCTTCAGTTTGTTTATAAAATAATAGCAGTGATACTTGAATTGAGTTGGTTTTAAGTTAAGGAGAAGCAGCTACTTATTCTACTACTCAAATGTAGTTCTTCTCAAATGGTGGAATTTGTACTGTAGAGCTTTGTTCTGAAATGGACTATTTGAGGATAGGTTTGTGGTTATATTTTCTAGTTCAGGATGATGGATTATTTTTCCAGGGAAACAAGAGGATCCTTGGAGCTGCAGAATATCTATAGAAGCATGACATTTTGCTAACAGCTGCCAGTGGCTTGTTAAACACTTTTTCTTGTGTGCCTTAGTGCACATCTAATTTTTAAGTCTGAAAGTGTCTGTAGACTTTCATTTGGTTCTGTCAGCAGGACAGAAAGTGAAACCATCTTCATTGCTTTGAATCTGGTTGGTTTGCTTGTTTCTAGGTGGGGGTGAGCAAGGGAGTGGTTTCAGCACGGTGGTGTCGGCATCAGCAGGTCCCGCGTTGTCAGCCCCAAACCAGTCAAGTGCATCTTCAGACAAGTACGCGGCTCTGGCGGAGCTGGACAGCGTGTTCAGCTCCACAGCCACCTCCAGTAACGCCTACACTTCCACCAGTGATGTCAGCAGGTACGTATGCTCAGTATTCCTTCTCCTGCTGTAGGTGGAGATGAGCTTTCATTGCTCAGCAGTAGTGAGAGTCTTTGGCCCTGACATCAGGGGCTCCTTTCCTGGCATCAGTGAGGTGTGTTGCAGTCTGCAAACTGCACAGAACCATTCATCCCCTTCCTTCTGCATGCCAGCAATAATTGTAAATTGTGTTTAATTGTTAAACAAGCAGTTCTGACTTCACTGAAGGAATTGTGTAAATTCTTTCCAGCAATGCTTTTGGAACAGTACCTGTGGCTGCCACTGCACAGACACAGCCTGCATCTTCGAGTGTGCCTGCTCCGTTTGGAGGTATTTAAGTGTTACTGACACCCTTTGTGGACTGGAAGCAACCAACCTGCTGATTTTTAGTTGATAGTGCTGTACTTTGACACTACTAACACTGAAGTTACTAAAGGATGTCAAAAAGTACTAGTGTTAAAACACTTAATTTGAAATGCATTTCATTATAAATGCCTGATATTTCATATAATGTTAGCTATTTACATATCTTTGTATAAAAGCTGTATAAACTTAATGTGAGTCAGATTGGCTGATGATCTTTAAAACACTTATCTAATAAAGTGTTTTTAATCTTTCAGCAACACCTTCCACAAATCCATTTGTAGCTGCCCGAGTTGCCCCAGTGGCACCTTCAACAAATCCATTCCAGACCAATAGCCGAGGAGCAACAGGTTAGGAAAAAAGCCATTAGATGTTTGAGAATGTATCTTTCAAGAATTGCAGCGATTATTTTTTTTTTTTCCTTTAACTGTGTGATTTGTTTCTTAATTATTTTCTGTATTTCTGTCTCTAGTCTACTTGACATGTTATGTGTTTGTTCAATGTCAGGGCCCAATTGTAGGATTTCAGATGGTGGCCATGAAAAATGTCAAAATGATGTGTTTGAGCTCTGCCTGTTTGTAGTTTGTATTTTACCAGTTGGGTACTTTCCAAGACTGTAACCTTGGATTTGAAGCGTGCTTTATAGCAGGTTGCCCTGAAATCAGGGATCTTGACAGCCCTGCAGCCAGCATGGTAAACTCCTTTTTAAAATTAATTTCTTTATTTCAAAGTGCTGAAAGCTCTCAAAACCAAAGAGTTTGAAGAGCTGGAACCAGGGAAGAGAAGGCTCTTGGGCTGTTAACTCCTCACCAGTCCACTTACTCAGTACATTGGTGTTCTCTTTTGTAAAGTGTATGTTCGATCTTTACACTCATTTATATTAATTTTCCAGGGGAGAATTTTGAAGAATCCTAATTCCATAGGCAAAACTAAATAACTTTTTAAAAAAAGCAAACTTGTACTTACTTCTTTAAAACATTGAACTTGGATTTAGATGGCTGCTAGGTTATTCTGCTTTTCTGCTCCAGAGTCACTGCTAAATTTTGACACTTTCATCTAGTAGCTGGACTTCCAAAGATTTAAATCTGCTGATGTGTGCATTTTGACATTGAGTTGTGGTTTACTCGGTGATTTAGGTAGGGTGAATTAAACTGATCAGGCTGAGTTAAAACTGAATTGATAAATTCATGTCCCCTGCTAATATTAATTCTGTTTTCAGTCACTCTTGAGATATTATGCGACTGAACTTGTTCAGATATTTAATGCCCAAAATATCTTTCCCCTTACTTTAATCTCGTTCCTAACTGTGCCATTTTGGATCATCGCTAAGAATTTGTAGCCTCTTTAGATACATTTCTTTGAAAACTGCAACTCTTATCCTTCCATCTTCTAAACTGCTGTCCTTGGCTTGCTGAGGTTCCAACCCTTTGGCAGCTGTCCTGATGTTATGAACTGGGTGACAAAGATAATGGTTATAAGGGAGGTGTGAAGTGTCAACTTGTAACTTGTCCTTTTATGTCCTCTTGCTGCATGAACTTCTGCTATTTATTACATGGGAGATCTGTTTTGTAGTGTTTTATTTCTAATGGCTCTTTCACCTTAATCTATTGCTGGTATGGATGAATTGTTTGGTGCATATACATGTATTTACCTCTATATTTATAACTAAGAAATGAATGTTCCAGAGTGTATAAATGATTTGACATTGTCTGGTCTCTTTGTGGCTTCCATAAGGCCTCTCGGGAGCAATGCACTCTCACATATTTCCTCAGGCTCATTTTGGTAGGTGGCCACATTTGGTATCAAGTTTCTTGTGGCTCATTGTTCTTGCTTGTAAAAGCTTCTTGATAGCTATCTGGTTCTCTGCACAAAGAATTTTGGAAGACTTTGTTTTTCTAAAAGGGAGTGGGTTGTGGGTATTTGGCAAACTGGGCAAGGGGAGAGAAGAGCATACCTGAGACAACCTGTTGAGAAACCAAAACAAAACCATTATTGATCTCCTCCATGGTCACAATACGATGCTAAAGAGCGACTCTTGAAGTTTCTGCCAACAAGAGTTTGATGCCTTTTGGGATATCCCAAGTCACTGCTCCTTTTGTTGTGCTTTTGTTTGCTGTTTTTAGCAAGTTTGCCTGTTGAGTAGCTCCTCTGCTCACTGTAACTCCAGAACAGTGTTAGTACATCAGTTTTGTGTGCACTCTGTCAACAGTTTATGTATGTAAAATGTCCTTGCCCTTGAATACTTTTGGGGTAATTTTTTCAACTGATAATTAAGCTCTATCCATTACATTAATTTTAATAACTTTTTTTAAACAGTTGAGCTTGCATAAAATCTAACTTGTAACGCTTCAAAAGAGAAGTCCTGTCTAACTAGCATAGAACACCTGGTGTCTGTGTTTGTACCAAAAATCCTTCTATACCACTTCTCCTTTCAAGAATAACTCCCAAAAGACTGAATAATGGTTTTGTTATTAACGCTTTTGCACCTGATGTGCTCCTGTTTGTTTGCTGAAGGCACGTGGAAATGCCTGTGCGCTGTGTGTTGTTTACTTGAAATGCTCAGCAGAGAATCAGATGAAAAGTTTTGAGTTTTTTTTGTTGTTTTAAGTCCTACCTCAGCAGGAAGAGGGCTTGCAATAGGAGCTTTGTGTGCAAATAATGTGCATGGTGAGAATTTCCTTTAAAGTGCTGTTAAGGATGGGATGAAGAAAGGAGATGCATGTATCCCTTTGATTTGTTTATTTTTGTGTTTTGTTGTTTTTTTAAGTGATTTGTAACCTACTGTAGTGCAACTTGAAGTAGGGAGATCCTTTCATGCTTTCCTCAGAAGGAGAAAAAGAGGGGCTTAGGCTGCCTGAACGTGCTCGATTCTGGTGTGTGCAGACTTCAACCAGAAAATCTGTGGGGAAGCATCTGATAACATAGAGAACCAAAAATAATTTCCTCTTCAGAAAGTGTATCTGAATGTGCTGGATCTAGTAAATTTTAATTTACTCCATTAATTTTTAAAGTGGTAAAGTAAATTATGCACCTGGTTGGTGGTGATCCAAGTGAACAAATCAGTTCAGTGGCTGTAAAAGTTGAACCAAACTTTGTTTGGTTAGCAGACTGCATTAGGAGATTTTTAACATGGTGTTATAGTAATTTGTTCCATGGAAAAAGTGGTTTCTTACAACTAATTGAATGTTATTATTTTGCCCATCAGCAGCAACATTTGGTACTGCATCCTTGAGCATGCCTGCAGGATTTGGAACTCCTGCTACCTACTGTCTTCCTACTAGTTATAGTGGCAACTTCCAGCAGCCCACGTTCCCAACCCAGGCAGCTTTCCCTCAACAGACTGCTATTGCTCAGCAGCCAAATGGTAGGTCTGCATGGTTTAGATAATCTTGTCTGAATGGGAAACAGAGGGAAAATGATCTGTCTGTAAGTTGGCAATAATGGGTGCGTGTTTATTTCTTCGTGAACTCAGTAATAACTTTAATGAGGGGTTCCCACACTGGTTTGGCTCCCTAGTTGAGCTTTCTAACTTAGCTGTGTGCATTTGTGCAGTGACAAAAATGAAATTTTCCTAAATTTTACTAAAACTGTAAATATTCCCAGACTTTAAGGGTTTTTAGGTAAGAAGGGCTGTTTTGGGGTGTCTGCAACACATTATTGCTTTCTCTAACTTCACAGAACACAGGCAAGAGAAAACTGGAAAGCATTTCCCCCCTAAATTTATATGATACAACAACATTGAAAAAAGTGCACGTGCAGAAATTGGAAATGTATTAGTTACAAGCAGTTGAAAACAGCCAAACTCAGTCATCATTTTTTAGGCTTGTGTTCGTGGTAATGTTTAAGTAGGATCAATCCTGCTGATTCTGCAGTTCAGGTTTCCACTTACTTACATTTGGGTGAGAGCTGCACCAACGAACTCTTTGAAGATTGTTTACTACTAATTTAATACTAGTTAATACTTTTCACTTATCTTTCCAAGGAGCAGGTTTTGCTGCATTTGGGCAGGCAAAGCCTGTAGTAACTCCTTTTGGACAAGTTGCAGCTGTTGGAGTATCTAGTAACCCTTTTATGGTAAGTCAGTTGTTGCATGACGTTAATAAATTCTGTGTGTCCAAAGAAGTGTAATCTGTAACACTTAATTTAGAGATACACAAAGATATTGGGGTTTTCTTCCTTCAAGGAAAGGAAAGCAGCATGTGGCTCTGCTAACTGCAGTTCAGTGTTATGATGACATGGCATCTGTTCAGACCAAAACAGAGGTACTTGGATACTCTGTTCTTACAGTGGTGTAATTTCAGAGAAGCACCAAAAAATAGACAGCGATATAAATCAGAAATATTTCCCTTTAGGTTATTTTCTTTTTTTGATATATTCTGCATTTATGATTTACAATATGGAAAAAAAGTCTTAACTACTTGCCTTATTTTTGTTCTGTCCTTTTCCCCCCCCAGGCTGGTGCACCAACAGGACAATTTCCAACAGGAAGCCCATCAACCAATCCTTTCTTATAGCCTTATAGACACTTTACCCAAAAGAACTCTTATGTGGTCACATAACATCTCTGCGCCTCTTGCACTGTTGTCTTGTTTCACTGATATTAGCTTTAAACACAAAAGAAGTCTTTAAGAAGTAAAAATAAAAGCCTGCATTGTGTACCTTTAAAAAATTTTAAAAAGGAAAAAAAAAAAAATCCAACACACACAAAAAAGAGAGAGAACCGACCCCCCCACACACCAGGTAATAACGTGCAAAACAGAGGGCTGTGGTAACATCCTTGAACCTGTGAACTGGCAGGTGAAAAGTAGCGGTATCATGTATATTAAAATTGGCTAATAAGTTATTGCAGATACCACGTTCATTATGCTGCAGTACTGTACATATTTTTCTTAGAAAATAGCTATTTGTGCATATCAGTATTTGTAACTTTAACACATTGTTATGTGAAAAATGTTACTGGGGAATAGATCAGCCACTTTAAGGTGCTGTTGTATCTCTTGGAATGAATGAGCTGCATCATTTTAACCGTTGGTATTGGAAGTCATGAAGTTAAATTGAAGGTTTGTTCATTTCTCAAAACGTTTTCCTTTCCTAAGAGCTCTTCTATTTATACATGCCTAAATCTCTAATGTTAGAGGGATACCTGTCTGCATAATAAAGCTGATCATGTTTTGCTACAGTTTGCAGGTGAAAAAAAATAAATATTAGAAAAAAACAACTGTGTAGCATTATTTCTGTGCAGCAACATTTACTGGGTGAAAATGTGCATCCTGCCAGTCTTGTACACAGATGAGGTATCCAGAGCATGAGTTAAGCTTAAAATTTTCACATGACTGTTCTAGCCCAAGTGAAGTGATCTGTCAAACAGGAGAGTGTTGGATGAGCTGGGGTTATTTGGATAAAATATCTGTAGTGAAGGACATCGAAGCAATGCAGAGGGAAGTCACTCAAGAAAGGGTTTGCTGCAAAAGACACCTGATTATTGGGTAACTAGTTGTGATTATTGGGTAACTAGTTGATGAGAACAGAATGTGTGACAGCAGGCCAAGGTGCCACAGATGTAATAGCACTTTTTATTAGAAACTGATATATATTAGTAAGAGCTCCTCTGGAATATTAAATTTGTCATTTTTAAATTTACAGGAATATTTCCCACCTTACTAGAATGGAATTTGTAGAGGCAGGGAAAAAATGTCTGGCTTGTCTAGTCTGTAATAGTAATAATGTTCAAGAAAAATGTAATTGTATCAGAGTAGTTGGTGATGGTGTTTTAAACACAGAAATGATTTGGCTTAACTTCAAGTGTAATACTGGAAGTAAGCAAATAATATATCACGAGTACATAAACTGCAAACTTAAAGGTTTTGGACCAGCTGGAGAAAAAATTTTACAGCTTTCAATGTCACAGGAATAAATAAGGTGAGATTTTTTTTTTTGAGAAAGGTTATGTAAGCCCATTTGAGATAACCATGAAAATTCTTGAAGGTAAGACATTTCACTGCCTGAATGTTAGATCTGTTTATTTGTAGGACACCTGAAAGGCTTCACCTCTGCTTCTAAAATCATTTAAGGTAATGCTTTTGACTTTTGTTGCCTGCCTATGTGGGCAGGAATTTCTTTTCTTTTTTCTTATTTTTTTTAAACTTTGGAGATCCCAAGCACGGGACAGGCAGCTCATACAACAAGCTGCTTATAGTAGATTTTCTTACCTTAATGCCTGGGTTTGTCCTGTTGTCATATTTAAAGTTAAAATAGACTTGAGTTCTGTTTTTCCCTTGTGGTGAAGACTGCTGGGGGGGGAGGGAGTATATTTTACAGTTAAATTCCCAAGATTCTCTGAGAAATTCACTAAACAAATCCCCAGCAGTTGAGGGTTTCCAGGGTGTTAGAGATGCCCTTGCTCTCAGCACTGTATTTTAGCACAGCTTAAATAGCTGTAGTTCTTCCCTGTTGTCAACCCTGGCTGTTTTGGGATAGGAACAGGTAAGTGCAGTAGAGTGGGGAACTGCAAGGGTTCAGCAGGGCTTGTGGAACACTGAAATATGGCCAGTGCAGGGAACTGAACCAAATCAACCAAATGTCCTGAAATAAGACAAACAGTGTTGTGAAAGGGGAGCAATCCTGTGCCTGCTTCACCTCTGTTGATATAAATGAGGCTTTGGGCAAGGGCTGATGAGATCAGCATCTGTTGAAATTGCCCTGATCCAAATGAAGCTGATTCTTGCTGATACCAAAATTGATTTAAGTATGCAAGGCATGTAGTTCTAGAATGTGCTGCAGAAGTAGTGGAATACCGTGTTTTTCATAACTAGATTAAATGCAGATAAAAGGTTGGCAGCCTCTGCTATACACAACCACATCCCTTTAGTCTGTGTTGACTAATTTTACATTTTCCAAACTCTGGACAAGCAGCTGAAGGTCTTGTGTTGTTTTGAGTCTTGATGTTGAGCAGAAACTGACACTGTAGCTGTTCTGTTGATTGGGTTTTAAAAATAGATGTATTTACTAAGTGAATTCTTCACCTGTGATTATAAACTTACAATCTGGAAAGTCTGTGCAGTTGTTCACACAGTTGCTTATGTATAGTTGCCAAAAAGCTGTATTTTCATGCTTTAGTATCAAAGGACTTCACTTGATAACTTTATACAGAAATTTATGTGAAGACCTCCGAGATTAGTACTTGAGTCCTAAAGTGTCATCTGTTGCATGTGCAAGAAGATGCTACAGCTGTAGGAGTGGGCACATCTTGTTCTGTAAGGCAGATGTGATGTCCACGTACTGCAGGGGAAAGGTGGCTGCAAACATCCAAATACCACGATGAAACAAGTGCTGAAGCAAAAAATTCATTTGAAAAGCACTAAATTGAGTTGGAATTCCTGAAAGAAAGGTGTGTGATGCAAGTATTCTGCTCTCTTGAAGGGAAAAGTTTCTGGGACGTGAAGATGAGCTCAAATAGTTTTTCAAAACTGTACTGGAGGGAACTGATGATTTTCCCTTTTTTTGGGAGATGCAGTGGGTCAGTTAATTCTGAGTCTTGACGAATCTCTAAGTTGTGGTAAAGGAATGCAGTGGAATTTCCTGCTGTCTGATACTGTTGACTAGAAAGTGGACAGCTGGAAGAACATTCCCTAATTAGCTTTAGTTATATTTAAACTTATGTTATTTAAGACTACCTTGTATAGCAACTGAAGTGTCTCCCCATGGTTTAGAAATAAGTTAGTTTAGGAGATTCTCTTCCAAAGATAAGTGTGTGTGGGTCATGGCAGTTGTTGGATATAATTATTGCCTATGCTTATCAAGGCAGACACTCAAAGGAAAGGTCAGGGTGTTGTGTTCATGCCCCTTCAGCAAACTCACAGTAAAACTCAGTGCATCAGTAGCAGTTGATCTGGGTATAATGACATGTTTTTCCTTACAGTCCCGTGACTTCACATTTCTGAGGAGTGCATTGTCTGTGTGGAATCTGAAATGCCTGCATTTGACCACTGGGAAAATGCCAGTATTGCTATACTAGATCACATGGTAGTAATCCAACATTTGAGTAGCATCTTTTGGGTAAAAAAAATTTATTGCTTTGTTAAGTTGTATTGAAAATCTTACGCCACAACTTCCAGTTGAAAAGGTGTTAAGTTTTCTCTGTGGCAAGCTTTCCAACAGGTATCTTGCTGCCAGGGGCACCTGCTGCTTTGTATTCCCTGGGAATGTCTGAAGGTCTCGTGTCAGTGACTAAATTGCCTTTAATTGAAATACTCAGGAGTGAAATTTCAGAGATTGTGTTCTGTGAGTTCTGCTGTGAAGTTCAGGCATCTGCCCGTGCTTGTTTGCTTGCTGAGCATGAATTGAAGTTTGGGTGTCTATCAGTAACGCTTGAGTTAAACTAAGGCTGAAGGGAACGGGCAGAATGCATTGCTGCTGACAAAGCTCTCTGTGCTGTGGGCTCCTTAGCAGCCTGCTTCAACCTGCACCAGGTTTGCTTGATGGAACATTTTGTGTCTCCTGATTTGTTGTTCAGATGATGGAGCCTTCTGCACTGTTGCTTGCAACCATTCTTCTTGTCTCTGTTGTTAATGACCAGTGCTTTCACCAGCCTCGCTGGTGTTTCTGCATTTGGTGGAGATCATGGTGTATGTGCTTCTGATGAGGAAAATTCCAGCTATGACTGCAAAGTAGCTGCCATAAATGAGAAACTGGGAAATGGAGGTGGGGAAGAAGTAGGAGAAAGAGTCAAAAACTGCTTTTGCTGTTGGGTAATAATGGGTGTCCCTCCACTGCTACCCTCCCTTCCCTGTCACCCGTGCCCAAAGTGATCCCATTTGAAAGGACTCAAACTCTGACTGCTCGATTACATACTGTAGGAAGTTTGAGGTTGTAAAAGGGGGAGAGAATATTTCTGTAATGTACTTCCCCACCTCAGTAAGGGAGGATGGTGGTCCTGCACTTGTGTCCCTTCTCAGAAAAGAGGAGAGCTAGAGACTTGGATCTCATTCAGGACGTAAGCATCAACTTTAAGTTTAGAAACTTAATGAGGAATTAAGTTAATTTTCAGAGTTACAGTAAATTTTCTGGTGCATCCACTGGAACTGTGTTACTTTGAATTACCCTGGTAATACACCCATCAATTGCCTTTAGGTTTGCTTCCTGCTTCTAGTTAGGATATTTTGACAATAAACTTGTGCATAGTAAGCCTTTAATTACAAAAATACTCTGAGTAATAGATGGTGGTCTTTCCTGTCTGTTCCATGAAAAAATTCTTAAAACTATTGCAGAAATGCAGAACTGGGAGGACTGGAGGACAAGCTGTAGTAGATTATGGCAGCTCACTTTAAATGAACTTTTTTTTCCGAGTAACTGTCCTGAGCTTGCACATCACTCAGTATCTTCCCAAAGGCGAATCTTGGAGCAGAACCCCCTTTCTGAGAAGAACAGGGGGACTGAGAGCAGTGGTGTAGCTTACCTGAGTGCTGATATGCAGTCCCAGACCTCTTGAATCTACTACAACAACAGTTACAATCGTCTGAATCACCAGGGCAACAAAGTTGTTGAAGCCAAACATCAGAGCATAGCGCTCCATGCTCAGGTTGACAGCGATCTGAAACCTGCCGATGAATGCACAGGTTGGCCAAACAATGGAGAGCAAGGACACGTGCACTTCAATGTGCACAGTGGAGTCTTCAAAGGTCAGTCACTTCAGTCTTGCCTATGAAGCTTTAGCAGCTTCAGTTTGGCAGAAAATCCTTGGTTTTTTCTGGCTTTGTGACTTTTGTGCCATTCTACTTATCTTTTACTTGAGTGGATATTTTTGTTAGATACTGCTATATATTTATTTGATCATGTAGAGAACACTTGTCCATAGATCATGGAACAGCCAAATGTAGGAGCTACCTTGTTCTGGCAGGAAGTGTATGATTGTAATGGTTATGTCATAGAATTGCAAGCATAGCTTTATACAGGCTATGTATAAAGTCATAACCTATTTAAAATTTATTTCCAGGGAAGATTCCAGTCAAAGTTCGAGAAATTTAAAATGTTGATGCTGATTTAAATGAATTTAATTAGAACAGTTGTGTGTTGTACTTACGTTGCTATTGTTATAAGGAGCATGTAGCAAGCCTTGAATGCAAGGTAACCAGCATAGCATGCCCAGATGTTCCCAGTGAAGTACATGAGAAACAGAGAACCAGCATCCATTGCAGAGAAAATCCCCAAAGCCATTTCTCCAAAGAGATCCCAGTTGACTTTGACATATCCAACTGCCATGGATGTTACTGAACCTAAAAATTGAAAAGTACTGATTAAAACTCTGAAACGTTATTATCCTTGAGAGCCATTTTATAACTGTTTAGCTGGATCATGGCAGGAGCTCTTCAGTCTCTTACAGTCACAGTGGGCTCTGATAGTGGCATGGTTTATATTTCCTATTAGTGGTGTGGGAGTCTTCCCTTTGGGTCTTTTCCTCCTTGCTTACAGACTCTTCACTGACTGAAGTGCTCTGGGAAAGTGCCCCATGCCCAAGACTGTTCTTTTAATTCCTAAACTTGCCAGCTTAAGGTTTATTAGAGGGAGGAATATGCAAGGCATCATTGCACAGGGTTTCCTAGTGCTTGGGGTTAAATTCACGGTCTAAGCAGAGCTGTGAACTTAAACTCTTAAAGCACTTGGGTGGAATAAGGCTCCCCTAAAAAGGAAAAGCTTATAGATATATATGAAAAGATTATTTTTGAAAAGCCCACTAATTAAAATTTATAGAAAAAAATCATGCTTTGCACACTAATTGGGTGTTGTATGTCATAGGCTGTTGCTGCTGACCCTGGTCCTCATAGGAGATGGAAAGGCTCAAAGGCATGCTGAAGAATGCCTCAGCACAGCGTGGGTTAGTTATTTACTGATCATCTTTCACTTACCTAAAAAAGTCGCCAGTGCTTCGACAGCTCCGTTGTACACGGCAGAGCTGTGGGAGGGGGCTCGGAAGTCCCACAGCACTTGGATGTAATTCACCACTTGGTTGAAGCCGGCCGTAGCCAGAGCCCACCACAGGGACCAGTAGAGAAGTTTCCTGGAGCTGTAGCAATCCCTCAGGTCCCTGCTCAGCTGCACCAGCACTCTGAGCAGGTGACTGTGGGGCTTGGCATTGCCAGGCAGCTGTTGGGGGGCTGGGCCCCTGCCGGCAGAGTCGGAGCTCGTGTCCTCTTGGGTGGAGGGACGGTCGGAAGCGGCCGGAGCCGCGACCCGATGGGGCTCTGGGAGGGACTGGGAGGCGTCTTTCCTGTGGAAGAACATGCTCTTCTGGGGCATGGGGAGGAAAAAGGCGCACAGGAAGGCCAGGGACACGGAAGCCAAGGTGATGGCGTTGAGGTAGAAGTAGGACACGTCTGCCAAGGACACCAGCAGCTGTCCCAGCACGGCGGCCACGGTGGCTGCCACCAGAGTGCTGCTCCTGCAGTAGCTCGTCACCCTCTGGTAGCGCTGGGCGCTGACCACGCTGTAGATGTAGGCGTAATAGGCCACCTCGGTGGCCGTCACCATCCCGTAGAAGAATTCCACCAGCTGCATGGCCAGCACTCCGTGCGCGAAGAGGAGCAGGAGCCAGGTGAGGACGAGGCTGATGCCCTGGAGGAGGAGGACGGGCTTGTAGCGCAGGTAGTCCGTGAGCAGGAAGACTGGGAACAGGAGGGCCAGGTAGGAGTACGTCCAAACAGGCAAAATCTGGTTGGTAACCTAGAACAGAAAAAAGGAGGAAATACTAAAAACAAAAACAAACAAACAAAAAAACCACCAAAACACAACAACAACAAAAAACAAAACACAAGCCCTTAAAATACTGATTTTTAAGATTTTCAGTTATGTTATTGAGGAAACAACGTAGTCGTGGTGACTTGAAACATTGAATTATGTGAACAGTGCAGACTTAAACTGCTTCAAGTTACATTACTGTAAATGTACTATATGAGGGGCAAAGATGGTGATGCTACACTCTGCTACAGAAACAGGTAGATTGGCTTAAAATTAATTCCAGTAAAGGCCTATAAAGAAGGCAGATTTTGATATTGAGCTCTTTAAAGCAGTTGTAACTATGTGTCAGAGGAAAGGCTGTCTAGCTTCAAATCCTATTCCCCACAGTAGCTGGAAATGAATGCCTATTTAGTTTTGACTTTTTACATGAGTCATTGTATACCTTTGGTTAACTCTTTCCCTTGTTAAAATTAGAAAAAAACAATGTGTGCTTCTTACAGTGTAAGTGGAACTGCACAGAGTGAATGTGTAGCTGCTACCAGGTTATCTGCACCTTCTATGTTTTCTTTCAATTTAATGTGTAAGAAATAAGCAAGTCCTTGAGGAGACAGAATTTCAGTAAGTTTCAGCTGGACTTGAATATTTAGATGCTCTGAAAAGAAATTCTTCTTTCTTAAACTGTTCTGCATTTGGGTTGGGAGGTGCTGTTTGCAGTCGCCACTGAAGCCCAGCGCTTACCCTGGCAGGTTGGGTGCCCCTAGGTCAGGTTTCTGCTTTTAGATGCACATCACAAAATGAGCTTTTTCTCTAAGTTGGTTGTTTCTGGGGAGGTCTTGCCCAAGAACTGTGGGCTCTGCTGGGGGTGTCCATTCCTGATCACTTATTCTCTGCTTAAACAGAGACTAGAAAGGAACAGTATGAAGTGCTGGAGGACAATAGTAGGTGGTCATCTTTTTACTCCTGAACAGGTACTGGAGTGGGTTGGTTGCATGGTGAGCATCTGGTTCACTGTATCTTTCTGTATGACTTGTTTTGTTTCTCTGAACTTTAATTAGAATTCCTAAGTGTTTGACTTAAAATTACCTTATAGAATTAGCTCACTGGATGAGTTTGGCTGAAAGAACTATCATCTGCACTACGCCTGTTTTTGAGTTAAAGATTCTTGTTGAAATCAGAATTAAGGCATTCTGTGATCCTCGTGTATTTTATATATGAGACAAAACTTCCCTTTGTGATTAAAAAAGAATAATAATGAAAAAAGGGGAGGAAAAAAAACTCGAATAAGTTAAACCACAAATACATTTTCTCAGAAGAAACCTTGGGTTCACACCGTGCTGGTGGATTCTGCCTTAACATTTGCTACTGCGCATCAGGAATGACTGTTCTTCATATTAACTGTATGTGGGTGTTCCAAGCTTGTGTCTTCTAATTATACCCTTAGCTCCATGACTCAGCCACGTGTCAGCTCTGTCCCCTTTTCCTGGGAAGTGTAATCCTGAAGCAGCCAGTGCTGAACAGAGGGGCAGAGCAAGAAAACTTGCAGTGCGTGCTTTTGTCAAAAAAACCCTGACTTTACTGAATGAGAACCTGACCTCCATGGGTTAAGGAATGCATGAATCACCCCTGTAATGTAGGTAATAATTTTAACAGCTCATAAGGGGAAGGTTGCTTAGTTTTCTCATGATTTGCTATCAGCGTGTTGCTGTCGGTGTAATCAGTTCCATGATAAGTATAAATAAATGTCAGTGTTGCCCCTCCTCTGGGGTTCTGCATGGAGAGAGGAGCTAGCTGACTTGATTTTGCCAAAAATACCAATCACTTAAACAACTGCCAAAGGGGTTTCAAAGTCCTAAGAATGTGGGGGCTTTAATGTTTTGACTTTCTGCCAAAGAGGTGACTCCTTACTCTTTCCCAGAAGCATCTTAAACGTGAGTCGGTAGATAAAACTTATCTGTATTATTGGACACTTCATCTTCCCTTCAGTTATTGCTGTAGGGCTTAATACTTTAAGCATTTTAATAATATAATAACTGAAGAGAATCGTTACATACCTCTTCAATCGTTAGGTTTTTGTCTGACCCTGTTAGATAAGGGGTCAGGAAAGACTCTGATGGCCTCATTGTGGCAAAAAATCCATTTGCACAGATGATCACCGTGGGATAAATCCAGCTACGGCTTGTGGCTTCCTTCCAGGAATCCATAGCCTGCCTAAAAGAAAATAAAGGTGGCAAAGAAAGGAACAGATGCTCTTCACAACTCGTAAAAATTAATTCGCAAGTTTACTTTTCCACTAAACCTACACTCCCTGCCCCTTAAGCCATAAGGCTGTGATGGTGGCACCCAGTTTGATTGGACATCGGGGGACAGATGGCAACGTGATAGCCAAGAGCTGCCTGAGATGGTGACACGGGTCTTGTTGGTGTGCAGATGTAACTGCACATCAATGATCTTGAGCTGTCCTGCACAGCAGTGGAGCTGCACACCTGGATCTCCCCTTGGGCAGGGGAGCCCCTTGCAGTTACTCCTTGAGGTCCAAAGGTTCCTTGCCACAACAGATCCCTGGTAAGTGACTGCGTGCTCAGCTTTGAAATCTTGGCTGGGGGCTGACTGCACGTGTACAATCCTTTAGGCATAGGCAGTTGACCACATCTGGGACTAGCAGTGGGTCTAGCTGCACCTTGACTCTTCTCTGAGAGGAATTCAGAATCCTGTGACTTAACAGGAGCGTCTCCCCACCCGTTCTGTCTCACCTTGTCCTCTGTGCAGTAAGTCAAGCCTGCCTTTCTGTCGAGTCTTGTTAAACCACTGTCCCATTTACCGTTGAACTTTGATAGATCAATAGAGGATATTGTTGTGTCTGTCTCGTGAGTGGAGTGACTCCAGCTGTGGCACAGCCTGGGCCAGTGTTTTTCTCCTGACCCTACCTGTGATCCCAGATGCAGCCCGTAAATGAGTAACTCAGATCAAGGCGCGTTGCGCGTGGTAAACTCTGGTCTCTGTAATGGTCTGTCAAAGGTTGTTCCCAGTGACGTCCTTAGGGCTGGGCACACGTGCTGCAGGGGAGGAATGAAGTTTCGTTACAGTCTCATTTCCGAATAAATGAGTGGGCAGACTGTGAGATTAAAGCTCCCTCTCAGGGAGGTTTGATTTGCTGTTGATTTGCAGCCTGAGTGCCAAGTGGCGCGATGACAGCGCGAGTGTTCTCGCCGACAAAAGAAGCCACCAGCCCGCTCAGCCCCATTGCAAGCTCAGTTTCTTCAAAATGCTTTAATACTCATCCTATTTCTTGCACTCTGTTCATCTGAGAGGGTAAAGAAGGAGGCAGAAACCATCTGCTTGTGGTACCTGCTCAGACTCTGAGAAGAGAAATCTTGACTTTGCTTTTAGAAGTGATGATCAAAAGGAAAAGGAGGAGACTTCTTTCTTCACCATAGCTGGCAGCAGAAAAAGTCTAAAGAGATTAGGTTTTTTTAAGCTTATATTACTTGTTTTGCCTTAAAAAGTCAGTTTCACTGATCCTGAAAATAAGTGAAACAAGAATGTTCTGAATCATAAGGGAATGAAAGCAAAGCGCTAACTGATGTTTAATCATGCTGTTACAAGCTATTTCTTTTAAATTGTTGAATTCCACTTTATAGCAGGCACTTTTTCAAAAGTGCTTCTACTTGCACTGTAAGATTGTATTTATTAAAACTTAGCATAAATAGTATTTTATAAAGACAGTATTTCTGTAACATCAGAGAAATGTTACAAAAACTAGCCCTAACCCTTGAAACTTGATTTAAAATGATGGCCTCCGTTATCATCTTTCTCTTACAAATCATTATATATAAAGTACAACTTGTACTATCTTTAACTCAAGACCTGATTTGAAGTGTTTTGATATGTTACCTTTTCAAAATAGAAACATATTAAATCCTGGGCTGATCAGTAACATCAGCATAAATGTTTTATCACCTCCAAATGCAATGAGCAAGTGAGTAGCCACCACACTCCCAAATAACTCCAAAGGTAATGAATTAATTACCTGTCACACCTGTGGCTGTGGTGCATTTCTTGTGGATTCATGTGCAGTTCCTCCTAGGATGACTTTGTCTTGCAGAGGAGAAGTCAGAAACCACCCTTTAGGATTGGAGGTAGTAAGAAATTTCTGTGTCTTTTTTTCCTGAAATGTTCTTTCTAAACTTGATAAAAATGTTACCAGAATTTAAATAATAACAATTCTAACTCATCACAGCTCTTTTTGCTTGCAGAACTTGTCCATGAAGATTTTAGGGTAAACCTTCTCCTTTGCAGGTTTTGTCAGCAAACTGAGTTGTATTTTTATGATAAAGCTATAATACAGTGGCTAATGATTAATAAAACCTGCAGAGGCAAGAAAGCAATCAATGATTGCATTCTTTATGTTAATAAATAGCTTTAAAAGCTCTGGTCTCTGATTCATGGATAAGACAGAGCAGTTCAGCACAGCTTGGGCCAACACTGGCCCTCCCCTGTGCATAGTGCAGTGGCCTCTGGGCTCGAGGGGTCTCTTCTGACCATCCTGGCTTTGCTGGGGGTTGGGAGGTAGGACATGGAACATCTCATACTATTAGTTGGCCAGGAATTACTTCTGTATAAGGACTGATCTGTCATTTAAGGGCAAATGGATGATAAGATAAGCTTCTAAATCTGCCTTCTAAGCTAAAAAAAAAAAAATCAAAACAGATCTGCTTCGGAGAAATGCTGTTGCTTTGCTTTCCTGTACCTATTTTTTTCAGACTAGATTCCCTCTGCCTTCCAAGGTTCACTGGAGGATGGAGTCAATCCTGAGGCCTGTGGTAGGGTGTGTGTTGGCACTGGCGCTGTGGCCCTGGCACGGGAGGGGCTCCTTTGTGAGCTCGACAGAGCCTGGTCTGGTTCTGCAGCTTTGGAAGGTTCTCTCAGTGCAGTTCTCTCAGTGTGTGGTGCAACCAGGCAGGCAAGTGCTCAGGGGGGGCCAGGTTTGTCTCTGCACTTCCTTCTCTTTGCTTTCCAAGGGCTTCTGAGGAAGGGAGGGAGCCCTGGGCAAGGTGCTGCTGGTGGCTGTGCAGCGTTTCCCTGCTAGCCTTGGGTAGTGCTTGGGCAACACCTGCATGCTTTGAATCCAGAGATCCTCTGTGCCTTCCCTGTGTGCCCAGACTGGCCTTACCAGCTCACTGGACCGTGTCTTCGTGAAGACTGAGGCCCAAACCCACCGATGTTTCCAAGGCAGTTGGTGTTGCATTTCGGGGTTGCAGTTACGGGAGCAACGAGCCCAGCTCTGGAGTTTCATGTTTACATGGAATCCTTTGACGTGCTGGAAGAAAGAGCAGCACTTAATACTAAAAAGTTGCAAGGAGAGGTGAATGTGTTGAGTTTCCTTTGCCTGCAGGACTAGACAGCCTGTGGTTCCAGCCTTGCTTGTAACCTGCCATGCCTCAAGTATCTCCTCTCCAAAGAGTGTGTGTGTGTAGATACACAAACACACAGCTGGATGTGTGCATTTTACTCTTAGGTTAAATCTCTGGTCACTGGCTTAATTCTAATTACCCTGTGTAATCAGAGTTAATTTACCCTGTGAAAATTCAGGCTAAGACAAGGCCTTGTCTTTCTCTCCCAAACAATCCTAAGAGCTGCCCTCTTCCTCCTCTATTTCCTCCATAATGCTCCCCCAAATTCCAAACTCAAAATCTTTCTTTTAGAAATTGGAGAGAATAGGATTAGATTTTTTTTTTTTCTCTAAGGTCTTATTTGTTTTCTGAAGATGGGGCTCTCTGCAGCTGCAAGCCAAATAGATTGTGTCTGCTTGGTTCCTTTGCTCCTCAGTGGCATCCCACAAACAGAGAAAGCAGTGAGCTCTAATCAAAACATAAGAATTTTCATGGTTATTTCTACCAGTTTTTCTAGCTCCTTTCCTGCAGCCAACTACTGGCATTGTTTTTTAAAATAATAAAAAAAATTTCACATGTTGTTGATTCCTTTTGTCAGATGCATGGAAATATTTGTTAACTTTACGTATCAAAGGCAGTTTGAGACTGTGGAGCTGAAAATATCAAGTTCTTCCTTTTTCATTTAAACACAAACTCTTATTTAACTTCTAGTCAAGGACTGGCACCTACTTCTGAACTAAGTGCCTCGAAAGAAGATTCCTCCTCACAAGGAAAGAATAGAACAAAATAGTCCTTGCTCTCCTGGACTCTGTCCCTCTTTCTTCAGGCACGATTATTGTCCTCTCAGTTCTGCACTAATAAAAGATACTCCCTGCTCAATGGAAACTAAATACACCTCCTGATTTTATGACTGTATTGAGTAAACTGTTCTGCTTAGAGCCAGTTTACAGCAGAGAATGTCCACACAATGCACAACAGTAAACAAAAGGCCTAAAAAAGTAGCCAGGTTCATTTGGTCAGATCCCACTGATTCTTCTTGTGACTTGTGACAAATTGCTCCTCTCCTGCCTGCCCTCACCTCTTTGGGCACTTTGTCTGGTTGCAATGTGTGACTGGTATAAAAAGCAGGTATGTCTGTACAAATGATAGCTTGTGCCTCTACAGGAAAAATATTATTCTGTAAATGCTAGGTGTTTTCTATTTTTATTACTTAGGTTGTAGGTATTAGAAGCTAGAAGCAAACAGTACAGGAATAGCTTTAGCACATGGATATCAATCATATTAGATTAGGCATTCACCATGAAAATTCATTTATAGTCCCTTGTTTCTTCTCCTTGACTAACTGCCCTCTGTGCTGGACTAAATTAGCTGTAGGACTTGAAGCTTCTTGATAAATTCTGAGATGCTGACCCTGCCAAATTCTTGGCCAAGATCAGTGGATCTGCCTCACTTGGCATTCAAAAGCACCCATGATGCTAGCTGTTTGTTTCAGTTATAAATCTTCTTGGATATTCCTGTTAATCTGGAATTTTCCTGTGTGGAATCAGTCATATTTCTCCACAATGTACTTCTGTAGTTTTAGTCCATGCTACTTAAGCCCCTTGATAGTTTTTTCTTTTCTTGTTGAAACAGAAAGCCAGTCAGTCCTGAATTTAACTTTACTGGAAGCACGAGCGAAGGAGAGGGGCTTTTTAATTTTGTTTGGATTTGGACGTTTCTTGGTGGAGGTTTCTGTGAAGTCAGTGAAGTGTTTGCAGCTTTCAAATGTGGGTCGAGCAACAACAGCAGTGTTGGAGTGAAAGCCCTGGGATGGGCTGTGCAAACCCTGCACGAGGCCCCTGTGACGGGGGCTGTTCCACTGGGCAGGAGGAGCCTGTCAGCCCTTCTGCCTGCACTCGGGTGGGAGAGGAGATAATGATGCAGACACAATCCTTTGCTCCCTGACTCAGAACAAGGGATGTGCAAAGGGGGGGACAGACCCTTCACAAAGGCAGATGGGAGCAGCTCTGCCAGCGCCGCACGCGGGAGGCACAGCAAGCCAGGCAGGGTGAACTCCAATCTGTGCTGTTGTGCACAGGGAGGAGATGCAAAGGTGGTTGTTGTGCTTCTGTGTATAAATTACTGCTGTTAAGCTCTTTACAGGCAGGTAAATAAGAATCTAAATCAGTTTAGCTTTTGTTCTTGGCACAGGGCCATTATGTGAGTTCTGAGCTGGCATCTGTTGTGCTGAAGTGCTGCAGTGATTCAGTGCAGCTTTCCGGGGCTGTGTTGCACGTTCTTCTTGCACTGCTGTTCCCTGCACGCTGCAGCCTGAGCTCTTCTCCCAGGAGGGCCTGGCCAAGGAGCCTGCCTGCCTCCTACAGCCGTGTCAAATAGCCTGTGACAATCTGCTCTCTGGATCCGTGCTCAGCATGGTTCAGCTGCTCCTTGCAACATCTTGTTATTTTCCTTTTGCATTTGCTTGAGACAAGCACACAAATGCTTCTGATCATGAAAATCCCATGTATGACTGCAAAGTAGCTGCCATAAATTAGAAACTGGGAGAGGGAGAGAAAAGAGGCAGAAGAATTAATGAAAAATGCATTAGGGAGATGCTGCTGCTTCTGGAGATGACAGACACTATGATTTTCTTGACTTGTGTTCTGGCACAGTTTCTCTATGTTCAAGTTTTTGCTTTGTGATTTGCTTTTCCAGCAAACAGCAGATATTTGTGGAATGAAGAACTGCCCCTTGCTTCCATTCCTTATGCCTCTTAATAAACATCGGAGGGGGAGCAGAATAGGAACAGAATTATTTTTTTTCCTATTAGTGCAAAATATAGAATTAACTTCATTACCCACGTAGTCATGAATAATGTAAGGGAAGAGTCAGAGTTCATCCTTGTTTTGCTCTTACTTGCACATTTCAGTGCTGTCACCACACTGGTTTCCTAAATACACTGTGACTTTGTATCCCTGTTTCCAACCACAGGGGCAAGGCTATTTATGAGGTCCTACCTATTCCTGTCTTTCACTTTGAAGTTTTAATTTTTAGTGTTTGATTCAATCCTTATTCTTTCACAGTAACTTTTGGCTTCTCTGTACAGAACATCTGAACAGCTTTAGTCTTCAAATCCAAGAGAGGAGGAAGCTGCCCCAGCTGAGAGCCCCTCTGAGAAAATGCAGAAGTCAGAACATCTCAGGTGACTTCAGCACGGGTGGCACTGGGCTGGCTGAAGTCTCAGTTGTGAGATAGGATATCCTATCCCAAATCAAGTGCCCAGGCTATGGGCAGAAGAGTGTTAACACGTGCTGAGATACAGCCCAGGTTTGCTCCTGTGCTGGAATTAGAAGTCAGGTGTCCTTTTGACTTGTGCTGAAATTACTCCAATAATCCAGGCTGTGTCTCGTGGTTTGAACTGCACTGATAACGTGGTTGTGTTGATTCTGCCTCTGACAGAACCAGTCTGAGTTTTGGGGGAGAGAGGATGTTACTCAGTGTTCTATCAATGACCAAAGCTGGTCAGATAGCAGGGCCTGAATAATTATGTTCTGGTGTATCTCCTTTTAAAAAGCCAAAGACCAACATCTTTAATCATGAATGCATTGAAAGGCAAAAGGGAAGAACGATGACTGACATGAGGGAAGAACAAGCTGTACAGATTTCTACAGAAGAAAGAGGGAATTAAGCTGTCCTTCGGCACAGGAATACCTTTCTTGGTAAACTTTTGATGACAAATTGACAAAGCAGTAAATGGAACATAAAGTGATAGCACTTACCTGAGTCACTATGTCCAGCCCCAGGCCTCTCGAATCCACAACAACTATTGTGAGAATGGTCTGAATCAGCAGGGCAATGAAGTTGTTGAATCCAAACATCAGGGCATAGCGTTCCATGCTCAGGTTGATGGCAATCTGGAACCTAATGTGAGACTGGCAGGTCAGTGACTTCCCACTGGGTGGAAAGCTATTGCCCTCCAGCCAGCCAGTGAAGAGAAATGATTCATGGAGATGATCCATCAAGGATGGAGTAAACAGTGCTTCATTTGTTTGTTTGCTTCCTTGCTTTCTATAAAATAAAAAGCCTGGAGTACCACAGTGTATTTGGATGGGTTTTTCACTTGTCTGTGCTGCTTGACAGTGGAGGTAGCATTTATTTCTGCCAAGAGCCTGTAGATTTTACTTGTGATAACTTTTTTGACAATAATTAGAACATCTTTCCTGTGATATTTACCTCCAAATTTTCTATCTGAACAAAAGGACTTCAGGACTTATTTTCATTGAATTTAGCATGCCTTTTGTGCAAGCTTTGACCTTTTTTTTATGTTGTTATTGTTTTTTGTTTGTTTGGCTGGCTTTTGTTTTGTTTTGGTAGAATATTTTGAAATAGTTCAGGTGTGATTTACTATAATGTAGTAGCAATAAACCAAAATGAAAACAGAGAGTTCACTTAGCTTCCTTCAAGATAGGCATAATCTTGCCATGCATTATAATTTCAGCAGGTTTTTTAATCTCTTCATGAACTCATGCAGTTCATGGCATGCTGAAAGGTGTATCAGCAGGTGGTCTAGACATTACAGGATGGCTGTCAAGGCATGCTTGTCCCTCTTGTTCTCTTTGCATCTTTCATGCCAGACAGAAGGAAAACACCTTCTACATTTTGCTGTTACCATTCTTTTAGTACCAAAGTTACCTTGTACCTCGTTTAACTTCTGCCTACTTCAATATTCAATTTTAGGAATATTCAAAAATCTCGATAATTTTTCTTTTGTGGTCATTTAGAGGAACGAAAACAGCACAACCAGACATGTAAGTGCCCGTGTATTTACCTGCACAGTTATCATTAGGGCCTCTTTCCCTGAGGAAAAGGAGGGGTGCCCAAAGCAAACTCGAGGGAGGGGCAGCACAGTCAGGTTTTATACTCACGTTGCTACTGTCAGGAGGAGCATATAGCAGGCCTTGAAAATGAGATAGGCAGCATAACACACCCAGATGTTGGTAGAGTAGTGCATGAGAAGCAGGGAACCAGCATCTACTGCAGAGAAGATCCCTAAAGCCAGCTCTCCAAAGAGGTCCCAGTTAATTTTCACGTATTGCACTAGGAAAGATGTTACCGAGCCTGGAAAAAGAGGAAAATGTGTGAATGTTGTATCTGTTCCACAGCCTGTATTGCCAAATCTTGCCACCCTCGTGTGCCAAAAGGCAGTGCTGAATAATGAAGCAGAGTAGTTCTGAAGTTTGAAAGCCTTTCTAGTGACTTCTGCAGCTGTGAAGATGACTGGTCACTTTTGGGCAGCTGCATAAATCAAATCTCTGCCATCCTGTTCTTAGTGCTTTATTCCCCTTGACAGGATAAACTGTAATGTAGGAGGATTCATTATTTAGCTGTCTGTACCCAGCATGTATCTCTGGGGAGGGAACTGGGAACACAGTTTGGAAGTCAAAAAGTCTCTCCCAGCTTCTCCTGGGTGACTGCAGAGCTAGGCTGGTAAACCTGCTGATGTAACAACTTAGCTCTGTGCCCCTCACAAAGGAGGTAAGCTGTCAAAAAGTGAATTTTGTGAGGTGTCAGCTGAGCATATCCCAGGAAATGAGAAAGGATAGGCATTGTTTGCTCTCGGTGAGCCTCCTAGAAGGTTGCAAAGATAAGCCACCTGATTTAACTTCTTCTGTACTTCCACACGGAGGAACAGGCAATTCCATGAGAAAGAGGAATTCATCAAGGAGAAAAATATTCTAATTCTAATGATTCACTTGGTCTATTTAATTGCCTGCCTCATGACAAGAGTAGTATCTGTTTCTCCCTAGTGACTGTAAGGGTAACCTGAATGACGAGGTGTGATGTAGACGTTTCTTTTCCCTGGTGGGTCACACCTCCAAGTCTTGTGCAAGTTCTCTACAGCAGCACAGTGTGAGTATGTGAAGCCCTGCCAAGGCAGGGTGGTGTTCTCTGATGTCACCTTGTGATAACCTCACTTTGCTTGTGCGTGAGCATCTGCTCCTGATGCAGAAGGGGAATGCTTAACATCAGTAGTGTAAGGAATTCAACGGGGTCTTTTTCTGCAAATCTCTTCGTCTTGCAATGACTAAAATTCTCCTTTTTTTCCTGCTGCACAAGGGTATTTCACTAGAAAAAGATCTTAATTAGAGGGTTGTGTTCTTTTTGTGTAAAATATTTAGGAATAACTTCTCCCATGAGTGTTTGGGGAAAAACCCACACCCGATAGCCTCATCCAAAGAGACATGAGTGCCTCTGAATGGATTTACTGAGTGGATATAAAGTCTGTGTAACTTGCACGCTTTCTGCATACTGGTAAGACAGAGGTGGTTATCTGGTCCTGAAGAAAAACCAGCATAGCTCCCATTTGAACTGCTGTCGATCAGAGAATGAGGTTCTGGAAGGCACAGTGTGTGCACTGGCTCCCTGGAGTGCCTGCAGTAGAATGGCACTTTGAAAGCTTTCTCAAGTAAAACTCGAGACTGCCCTTTGTGATCGATGTTTAGACATTAACTCACTCAGAAAAGTTGCCAGTGCTTCGACAGCTCCGTTGTACACGGCAGAGCTGTGGGAGGGGGCTCGGAAGTCCCACAGCACTTGGATGTAATTCACCACTTGGTTGAAGCCGGCCGTAGCCAGAGCCCACCACAGGGACCAGTAGAGAAGTTTCCTGGAGCTGTAGCAATCCCTCAGGTCCCTGCTCAGCTGCACCAGCACTCTGAGCAGGTGACTGTGGGGCTTGGCATTGCCAGGCTGCTGTTGGGGGGCTGGGCCCCTGCCGGCAGAGTCGGAGCTCGTGTCCTCTTGGGTGGAGGGACGGTCGGAAGCGGCCGGAGCCGCGACCCGATGGGGCTCTGGGAGGGACTGGGAGGCGTCTTTCCTGTGGAAGAACATGCTCTTCTGGGGCATGGGGAGGAAAAAGGCGCACAGGAAGGCCAGGGACACGGAAGCCAAGGTGATGGCGTTGAGGTAGAAGTAGGACACGTCTGCCAAGGACACCAGCAGCTGTCCCAGCACGGCGGCCACGGTGGCTGCCACCAGAGTGCTGCTCCTGCAGTAGCTCGTCACCCTCTGGTAGCGCTGGGCGCTGACCACGCTGTAGATGTAGGCGTAATAGGCCACCTCGGTGGCCGTCACCATCCCGTAGAAGAATTCCACCAGCTGCATGGCCAGCACTCCGTGCGCGAAGAGGAGCAGGAGCCAGGTGAGGACGAGGCTGATGCCCTGGAGGAGGAGGACGGGCTTGTAGCGCAGGTAGTCCGTGAGCAGGAAGACTGGGAACAGGAGGGCCAGGTAGGAGTACGTCCAAACAGGCAAAATCTGGTTGGTAACCTAGAACAGAAGAGGAAATATTTGTGTTTTTATTCTCAGGAAGTTCATGCATTTTTTAATAGCTTTGGAGAGGGAGTTTTTGCTCTGAAGGAATTCATAAAATATATAACCACACTGAAGGAACATGGGACTGTTGGGCAGGCAAATGGATGTTAGATCCATTAAATGGATCTTTTATTTATGCTGTCTGCTGCAAACTGTAACCTGCCAAAGCTGGTTACAGTTGTGCTTTGTTTTTTTTTTTTCTTTTGATCTCTGTTTAAATACTTTAAAGTTTTCTATTTTTGCTGCTCCAAGTAAAAGAAACATCAGAGTAAAACCATACCTCATCCACGGTCAGGTTTTTATCTGGTCCTGTTAGATAGGGTGTTAGGAAAGGTTCTGATGGTTTCATCATGTAGAAGAATCCATAGAGGCAGAGGATCAGGGTGGGGAAAGTCCAGGTGTTCCTTTTCTCTTGCTTCCAGCAGCCCATGGCCTCTGCCAAAGAGAAAGTTTGTTGGAGGGATGACACTGCAGGTGCAAAGAAGTCTTGTAATTAATTTCTATTTTCTGGTTTCTAATGCTGACGAGTGGTTTTTACAGGCTGGCAGTTGGAAAACATTTTTCTTTGTAATGTTAAAGTGAGCAGCTTTTCCTTACATTTGTCAGCTGCCTCTCTGTCTTTGTAGAAAGTGCATAAAGAACGAATTGGAAGATCTTTAACTGGGAGACAAACTACACTGCCGTTTAATCTACACTGAGCAAGATAAACACAAGAAAAACCTTTCTAGACAGAAGTGGCTGAAGAACAGCTGAGCATGGAGATTTCCCTTGACACCATCACAGCCAAGCACCTTGCTGAGTGACAAGTAACCAGTTCACAGTTCTTTTTTTCCTCCCTAGGCTCCTAGATGTGCGTGTCTGTCCTGCTGTGGAGAGCTCGTAACTCTGGAGCCCAGCAGATGGGATTAGCTAATAAACACACAGAGGATGTCAAGCCAGATAGTCATTAATTGGCAATCTGGAATTAACTGCATCAGAAGTCAAGTTTGGATAAAGACATCATCTTTTCCGTCTATAAAACTGGTCACAGAAGATAATAGTCTGTACTAAAATGAAATTAAGCAAATGATTTTTGTCTGGTCTCTAGGTGAGATGATGGAAGAGATTAAAATTTGCAACTCTGCTGGACAGAGCCCAAAGAGAAGTCAAAATGGGTATAATGGGGGCATGCAAAGGAAATGGATAATAAGTTATAGTCCATATTCCTGTTGGAATAGGCAATGTCAGGAATCTAAACACATCCAGTTTATCTTTTGAAGCCCTTTGGAGGTTGCTAATTAACAGATGGGATTTCCACCACTCTGCTTTTGATTTTTATCTACTTCCTTCCCTTAGGCAAAAGTTTTAATCTTAAAAATGAAGTAGAGTTTTACCTCAATTTTTTCTATTTTTTTGTAAAAGCTGAAGAAAGACCTATTCAGTCAAAAATATTCATGTCCTGATGAGTAAATCTCTCTAGACTAGACGGACAGAGGATCCTCTTTTATAGGATGTGAGATATATATATATAATACATAAGGCGGTAGGCATTATCTTTTCTAACTTCACTCATGACAGCACATTTTACCAACGGCCTGATGCACTAAGAGATGGGTGTAGATCAAAGGGAGTTGAAATTATTTCCATTGCTGTGCAACGGCTGAAACCATCGGCATCAGAGGACTTAGAGCAGAAATCAGCTCAGCTCTGCAGTGTGAACCACTAGAGGGCAAGGCGACCCCAGCAGAAGGAGAACGAGTACGGGAGGAATGCGAGACACTCCGAGTGCTCAGGGAAGGAAGCGTTTCTACTCCTCCTCCCTCCCCAGTTGTTGTAACATCAGCCTCCTGCAAACGTGGCTTTGGCAGGACTTGTTTTGGCCCCGCCTGGGATAACAACACTCATTTAGTCACTGTAACATCCCCTTGCTCTTCTTTCACAGGACTCATTAAAGCCCTACAGCACCCTAATGCCACGTGAACACTTGATGTGGTACCCTGAGATTCTGAGAAGGACATCAGAAAGGGTGGGCTGAAGAGCATCTCCAGCATGGTAACAAGGGACACTTGTGCAAGTTAGCTCTGGGACTCAGCCAGGTCATACTTTTCCCTTCCCAGCCCAGACTTTCTGTTCCATTTGCTCTCTCCACAGCAGGCTGTGTGACACAGGGGCAGAAGGTCTCGTGGATCCTTTCAGAATGTCCCCCACCTTGGGAGGTGAGTGGGGCAAGCTGCTGTCTGCCCAGGGCTTGCAGGGTGCTGTGTTCTGCCCCTCTGGTGCTGCCCACTGGTGACAGGGCTGTGCTTAATTACTGATTTATGGTTAGTATAACCGTATACAGAAGAACTTCAGGTGTGCCCTGGTCTCTGCATCCCTCCAGCCCCAGCACATGCATTGTTTGGGGTTTTTGGCTGGACATGTACCTCTGGTTGGTAGTTTTACTCTCTGAGGTGCCTGTGTTGGGCTGGCAGAGAAGTCAGATGAGAAGTTTCCCACTTGGCTCTGAAGCAGCTGTGCAGAAAAAAACCTGCCACTGGTGCTGAGCTGGGAGAGGCAGTGGGCTGAGGGCTCTGGGGGCAGCCTCACACCCCAGACATCAGTGCAGCCCCCACTCCTTTCTGCATTCCTAACCACAAACCTCTGACAGCAAGAGCTGTGCCTTGGTGCTTTAGGGGGAAGGATCCAACTTGCTGCCATTCAGTCACCCCATGTGGTCACTTTGTATTTTATAAATCTAGGCTTTTCTTAACTTCCCAAGATATGGTAGGGTGCCTTGGTGTCATTCTGCAGCAAAACAATCCTCTGTTTCCTCCTGCAATTCTTGGTGCCAGAGCTGTCAGCTCTTCTACCACACAGCCTGACCCAGCCTGCCAGTTCCCCACCAGACAGCTCTCTTCTTTCCTCCCACTTTCCCTTGCCACTGGAGGATTTCTGATTTCCGATGCTCATATATAACCATACCTTGTCTGCTGGAGCTCTTCCTTTCTTACTTCCAGGGGAAAAGTCTCCTTTTGGTGTTTCCAGTCTTTCTTCTGGCCGGACTGTGTGTATTGCAGCTACTGGATTCTGTTTGGGTTTTATGCTTTTCCTGTTTTTCTGGTACTTCAGCTTGCTCTGACACCTCCTTTGAAATCGCCTCCAGTTGGCTTTCTTTCATCATCCACGTTCCCTTAAAGGAACAGCCAGATAATCCTGGCCTGCCTTTGCCCAAAGGCAGCAGTCAGTCGAGATCAAAACCACAGTTTGGTGCTTGACTTGGCACATAATGAATAGAGATAATTCTGTTTCCAAGGAATTTTGGATCTATTTGACAGGATATGTGGCTTTAGGCCCACCTGTCCTTCAAACTGGACTGTGTGTGGGTCATGACAGAGGTGAGAGAGAGCAGATGCCAGTGTTGTAAGATTTCAATGTTTCCCCACTACATACATGGGGTTTCATACTTTTCTGGGAAGTTTTAAAAAGTAAGACACCCTTGACTTGCTGGTTGGCAAATTTCTCAGGTCTTTGGCTTAGCCAGGTTCTCAGATTGCTACTGAGGATGGAGATGGCGCATCACAGTCAGCTTCAGAAGATTCTGTGGGATGCACTCTCTGAAATGTACAGGTTTTCACAAAAAGGATGTGCCAACAAATCTAGATCCACTCCCACCCTGGTCCTACAACATGTAGGTCTGGAAGGAGGCACATAGTAAGTACTTAGGAGTGTAAGTAGTACAGTAGGAAAATGTAATTTGTGAATATTTTTCAGTAACAGTAAATTATCCAATCAGAAGAAGGCAGCATCTTGGTTCATACACAGTAAAACGGAACAGTAACTTTAGGGACATAAACATGAACATGAAAACATGAGATTCCCTGAGTTAGAGGAGCTGCCCAGCTCAGCCAGTCCTCCCCCTTCAGCCTTGGCCGTATTTGGTAGCCTTTTTGCCTCCTACTCCTGAGCAGTAAAAGTTATTAGGTTAGTGATGTGAGACGGACCATCCCCGCCTATTGCCTTTGTAATTTGTTTGTTGACCTTTGTCCATGAAATGACCTACTCCTTCCCACCTGGGATGGTGCTGTTCGCTCATCAGGTCATACAATCTCTCGAGCTGGAAGGGAGCCACAAGGATCATTGAGTCCCACTCCCTGCTCCTCACAGGACTATCTAAAACTAAACCACGTGACTGAGTGTGTCACCCAGATGCTTTGAATGCTGACAGATTTTGTAATGTGTATTTAATACGCAAATGGAATGTAATAATTCCTTTCGGCACTTCCCCGGCTATCAGTCACTGCCTGACACCGATCCCAGAGCTATTTTGGTTCTGCATGTTTAATTGAACCTGTGGCTACAGGAGATAACAGCTCACCTGTGTGTGCCTGCATTTGGTCTGTATTCTCAAGGACTCTTGCTAAAATGCAGGGAACTGTTGAGGTGAACAGTGTTACTCGGGATTTACATTGATTTACTGAGGCAAGAACCCAACTTGAATGGCTAAACACTGAGAAAACCCCCCAAACCCTCTTCTTCCTGTAATGTAATAATGAGAAAGAATTATTTAAGTAACTTCCAGGCATTGATATTTGGGTTTTTTCTGCTTTCAGACCCTTTTCTATCCTTTATTATCAGTTTTTTCCATAGTCTTTAGTCCATCTGGTTTGTATTTCAACTTCCATACTTTTTCACTGATGACATCTGAATGCCAAATGGAAGACTCTGAAAATGTGATAAGCTTGTGCAAGTTTTTGGTCAGCTTGAGCCCTGTGCCATAAAGGGCCTGCAGCAGAGCTTGGTTGCTGGGTTTGAATAAGACCATTCTCTTTATGCTGGTCCTGCCTGGGGATTGTTCTGCTCAGACACTGGGCTGGGGATCTGTTTCTGGCTGGCATCCCAATTCTGTTCAGCTGGGAAAGGGAAGATTCTGTGAGAACAGGAGAAAAGGTGAACTTTAGGGTAGTAGTGTATCCTGATGAGTTAATGTAATATGGTCTCTAATGTATCAAGGGGACAGAAAAATTCTGAGAAGGGGAAGAAAAGGCAGTAAGAGAATAAGACTGCGAACCTCTGCCATGCTGATACTTTCTGCTGCCCCTTGGGCTCAATCCTGATATTACCTCTGGTGCTTCCCAGGATGGCACCAAGGCTGAGAGGCTCACCTTGGCTGTGTGAGGTGTGTGTCTCTCTCTGTGCTGATTATAAGCACTTTCAGCTCACAAACCACATCTGCTTCTTGACAACTGGCCAACTCCAGGCGAGGAGACTTTGCAAATCAAACTCAAGGCTTATTCTTTTTGAAGAATGTGTACTGTACTCTCAAAAGAAAGTGGTAGCAAAGAAAATTTTCTGTGACTATTGCTGAAAATTCTTCTCAATTCACAGTCAAACACAACCCGAACACAGAAAGGCTGCATGGCTGTTATGAAGATTAAACTGCATTTTTGTTGGATTTCTCAGACCCAGGAGTATCCACAGGGCAAGTTCACTATCTGATTCATGGATGAGCTGATCTTTATCTTTTTCCATGTAAGCTACATGCTCACTTAGGGAACAGGATGCTCTTTGCAGTCTGGCCCTGAATGCCACAGTGTGTGGGTGTGGGTTTCCGTAACTCCCTTCTCAGCTGAACCTCACCCAGGGTTCCTAAGGTGGTGAGACGTTCACATGGTGGGCCCAGGTGCTTTTCATCTGACACACTAAAATATTTATGCAAAGTTTAGTTTGGAATATTTGGCCAGAAGGTACTCAGGGCATTACTCCAAGGAGCAAGTTAGAGGATACATCCAACCACACTAACGTTTCAGGTATTTAGCTTAAATGTAGACTTACAACTGCTTCCTTACTGAAAAGGAATGATGTAAGGTTATCTTTCACTGCACTGTACCTTAGATAAGGATCGTGCCTTTCCTTATTATTCACCCTTTATTTTCCTCTTTATTTTCCTCCTCTTACTCATGTCACTGGAGCGTGCACTATGCGGGGTAAGGGCTTCTGGTAGCAGTGCAGGATCTCAATTAATCACTGGGCCATTAATTAATTACTTTGTCTTACAGACAGCATTTTAGAGGTGCCACACTTGGATGTTTGCACAACAAGGCCTGCAGCTCCTGGTGTAACACGTGCTACCAACACGGCATGGAGCAGGTAGAAGTTCTGTGATGGGTTTATAAAGGCTGGTTGAACCTACTTTGCCTGCAGAGCCATGCTTTGTGTCCCCCTTTTGTCCACTATGAACTCTGGGCCAGTGCTGGGTTGAAAGGAGTGCTTTATCCTCTTAATCTCCTGGTTTTGACCAGGGAAAGCAAAGTTCCAGTAGCTTCCTGCAGGGTGAGTCTCTGGTTGGACTGTCGCTTCTTTGGGTGAGTGTTTCTTTGCTAAATTCAATGTAGGTGACAGGTCACAGCCAGAATTGCGAGAGGCCAGGCAAGCAGCATCCCAATTGTGCTGGGTGTCCTCTTGGAAGCACTGCCAAGACTTTATTCCTACCACAGTGACCTGCCTGGCAGCTCTCTGATTTGTTCAGTGTCTCTTGCGCAAACCTGCCAGAGGCTTTGGGAGGTTTCCAAATAAAGGTGTTTCCCATTGTCTGAGGATGGGTTTGTTGGTTGAGCAAGATCCCCTTTTCACTTTCTCGCTCACGCTGCCACACAGCACACTTTGCTGTCCCAGTTGGGGGGTGCAAAGCAGTGTGGTCCAGGGAACAGTCTATTGATACTGTTCTGCTACAAAATTCCTTGTTCAAATGAAGCTGTTTGTGAGTTTTGTGGTATCTTCCTCTTTGTTTTATAGGTCTAGAATGCTGGAAAATTAAATTTGATCTTTTTTGTTTGGTTGGGGTTTTTTTATGTTTCAAAACTACTTTTGAACAACTGCAACAAAATCAAGCGAGTAAAGTTAAGTAGATGATAAAATTTCCAGGATTGAGCCAGACAAATGATATCTTCTGTATGGCCTCCCTCTTGGCATCAGGGTCTATTTTGGCCTTAAATGCTAAATTTATTTCTGTTGTAATTGTATCAATAGCAAATGACCACCATGAAACTTCTAAAATGCAGAACTGAAATTCCAAAAATATTGTGATCTGAAGTTTACTGGAAGGTAGAGAAAATCTTCCTGCTGCACTGAATGAATGTTACAGCGGGGCAGAAAGGCTTACAGAAGAAGGTTATACCTTAAGTAGTCCCTTTCATTTTACATTTTTCTTCCAGATTATCAGTGGAGAACAGGAAATACTACTTTGTCAGTGGGATTCTCTGGGGACTTTCTTGTTAAATAAAATGTTGTGAGGACATTGCTGTAGGTTTGCAGGTGACTTTTATGCAAGTGCTGACTGTGGGTGGGCGTACTGGGGTCTGGTGTCACTCTGCCCCCTACACTGCCTGTCAGCTCCTCTAATGGCAGTGTCACTGTTTAAAGGAAGAACAGCAGTTTGGTGTTTCTGGATTCAGTGGGGAAAGGTGATCTCAGCAAGGAAAAAGTGGTTGAACTTTTACTGTGACTGCAGATCTATCTTTTACCATCACTTTGATGCCAAGATGGTCAGCGTGGTTCACAAGCTGGCTTGAGCTTTTCACTTCTGCAAACTGTGGTTGAGACTGTAGCTAATAAGAACATTTTGCTTAATTCTTCCTTGATAGGAGCTTAATGTTACCTGTAAGAATTAAACAACAGCTGTCATGAAATACCAAATGCTCTAAAAGTTGAGGCTTGTTTTCTCACCAGTGCCAACCCCAGATCACCCCCATGACACCAACGCTCCCCATGATGAATAAGCCAGTTGAGTTTCCATGAATCCATTCTTGCTGATTTTTTTTTTTTATTATTTTTAGTGGAAATGAAAAAAACCTCACCTTTTTAATTCAGTGGAATCGCTGGTCCACAAAGTAACAAAAATTGAGCAAAAATCAAGCTTTTGGGAAATGCAAAAGAGAATAAAAGAATCTATTAACCTTCACCTTTAGAATTTGGACGGCACTCTAGTTAGAAATGGATGTGTGGGGTATGGTTATCCCAGCACCAAAAAACCTCTCATATCCCAAAGTTTGCTACTTGATGATTGGACCTGGTGACTTTGAAATCCTCTTTGTGGTTTTTGTAACGATGCTGT